AACACGTCTAATTTTACAGCATAATACATCGGAATCTGAAAGTGCTGTCAAATGTTAGTAATAAAGTTATACTTAATACTAAAAAAATAAAGCTGTACTGTTGTCTGCTATTCGAAAACTACGGCCAAACACTGTTACTATCATTTTGTTCCAATTATAAATCTTCCGATGTACACTACCAATCCAAAAGATCTCTTTATTCATTTATAGGTATATTAGAAAACAAAAAAAAGACTAACAGCTTTCCTCGCTACTGCAGCCATTATACGATGTATGTTTTTTAATCTGAAATCAACCAATGCATCATAATCTCCATATAAGAGATCTACACAACTTAACAGCTAGCGCAAACATTAAACAAAGCATTGGATTGGTAGTATATTCTAAAATCACTCTTTCATGTCAAATTCTTCATGTACTAGGTGAAAAAGGTTTCCAACCTGGTAATTTAGTAGATAATGAAACGCAGAAAGAAATACAAGCCAAGAAGGGAAAAGCCAATATTATCTATCTTGTAATTCGTATGTTTCAGAGTTTTTAGGTGTGTAGGTGTAAAAGTTATCCAACGTTTACTTTACAAATTCTCTTAACCACACTAAACTTCATATAAGTACAACAGAACGTAACTAAAGTCATCCTCTCACGCCGTATCTAAAATGAAACCCTTCTTCCCAACTGAAACGATAAATAGATACCTATTACAACTACCCTCGATGCTTATCTAAACACTGTTCCGCTACAAATTTCATATAAACAGACAGGCAGGAAGCTAAAAGATGACGGACTAAAGAAACAGACAAATAACAACTAAGGAGAAGTTTGTTGACAACAGGCATAAAAAGATACCAGGATGAGTATGAAAAAAGCTGGAAGATAAGAAAAAAAGATGATAAGGAGAAAGAAGGAGTGTCTTAATTTCTTTCTAGAATATTCTATGCAGGAGAAGCGGAGTGCTGGCCTAAAACTCTGTAATGTCGTCGCTGTGCTTGCACAGTTCAAGTTGTTTCGCGTCCAATGCGAGGGTTTCTAGGGTCAAGTCAGTTCGTGGAGTCATGACACGTAGCAACTTTGGGATCGATGGGGGGAGTTGAAATTCAGTCTTACTTTCCATAATTAGCAAATAAGGCATGTAGGTACTTGATAATTGAGCTGCTAATATAGTTTCGAGTACGGTAGTGTAGATATCGACTGAGTATGGGATTTTTAGGTCTGTGATGCGTGTAAGTTAATGAACGTTTACTTTACAAATTCTTTCAGGAGAAGTGTGTTTAATTGGGTGTGACTTCATTTGGAAACAGTAAAACTTTGAGGCTGAACAGTAGTAGTAGTCAATTTCAGTCTGATGCATCAATATTGTTTGAAAATATATGAGAGTTTTCCAATTATTGTTACTCACAAGTTGAAGTCTATTGTGATTATTGTGAGGGACAGCGTCTTATTCACCCATATCTTAATTTTTATAGTTAATATGTTTAAAGATCTGTAAAGAGATTGAGTATTTCGGGTTTTTCATTTCACCACCGTATTTTAGGTAACTATTGTTTGGGAGATTTTGACCCTGTTTTAGTCAGGATACATAGCAGCTTGGGAGTGGATGAGTATAAGAAGACGTATTAATTGAGATTTGTCGGGATAATCTGTACATATCATTTCAGCTTAGTATACAATTTACTCCCAACTGTAAAAAGCGAAAATGCTTCGTTTTGGTGGACGTTCAGTAGCACGACTTGTTGCACGTACTGTGCAATCAAGTTTAAGATGTTATGCTAAAGATGTCAAGTTTGGTGCAGATGGACGTGCTGCAATGTTGTTTGGTGTGGATACTTTAGCTGATGCAGTGGCAGTTACTATGGGACCAAAGGTAGGGGTGTTTGGCTGCATTTCATATTTAATATCTAATGGTTCAGGTTACTACTGGCTCGAGTACAAAAAATTTGTCTGCAGAACTGTATTTCTTGCATTATACTGCAGATTTTGTTAACGATTGTTTTAGGGGAGAAATGTCGTGATCGAACAGTCGTGGGGAAGTCCTAAAATTACTAAGGATGGTGTGACTGTTGCTAAAGCTATTGATTTCAAAGATAAGTACAAGAACTTGGGAGCTAAATTGGTTCAGGTACATACTATCAGATTTATGGCATTAATACTTTTATTAATGACAGTAAATAGATGTAATTAAGTAGCGACCAATTGCTAATTTCTTATTTGAATAAAGTGTGTCTTTTCATGTTATAGTGGGCATTCCATCCTTTATATGTGCCAAATGTTTTTCAGGATGTAGCCAATAAAACTAATGAGGAAGCTGGAGATGGTACCACTTGTGCTACAGTCTTAGCCCGGGCAATCGCGAAAGAAGGCTTTGAAAATATAAGCAAGGGTGCGAATCCAGTTGAGGTTCGGAGAGGTAAGTTCAGGAAAATTTGTTCAGCATTTGTTTGTATGTAAATGCATTGACTGTTTCAAGGTTTTTTTAAAGGATTTTTTTCGTTGCATGAACTCGGAATACTAAGTAAAAATGTTTTTGACATTTCCAGAAAAAGTTTAATTTTATCCTAATTCTCAGTGCTTAAAAATGTATTTGGAAATATAAACCTTACGTTAACTTCAATTTTCGCTGTCCAGGAGTAATGAAAGCTGTAGAAATGTTGGTTAGTGAATTGAAGAAAATGAGTAAAAATGTTACGACACCGGAAGAAATCGCACAAGTCGCTACAATTTCAGCGAATGGTGATACAAGTGTAGGGAAACTGATATCTGAAGCGATGAAGAAGGTTTTGTTCATGCATAGCTTTTTATGGAGAAACGGGATATTTTTAGAAATGAATTTACTATTTTTTCTGAACTAAAGTCACATTCAATGCTAAAACGGCAATTCTTGTTGCTGTAGTTTAATTCCTGATTATTTAGGTGGGAAATAAAGGTGTTATCACGGTGAAAGACGGCAAAACATTAAATGATGAATTAGAAACGATAGAAGGAATGAAATTTGACCGCGGTTACATTTCTCCGTATTTTATTAATACCACAAAAGGAGCCAGAGTAGAATTCGAAAAGTGTCTTCTTCTTTTCTCAGAAAAAAAAATAAGTCAAGTGCAGGTAAGGTATTTCTTAGTTTTAATTTTGATAAAAATCCCAAAATTCAGTTTCGATTTTAAAGTTCTGACTCAATGAAATTTTTTGATGATGGCCAATCTTGTAGAGAATTCATTGACTTTTTCAATATATAGTCATTATCGGAGAAAAAATGAAATTAAGAACCTGATGACCTTCATCTTTTAAATTATTATTAAGGTTTTGCTTATATTAATTTAATTTTTAAGGATATCGTACCAGCTCTAGAATTGGCAAACAAATATAGGAAACCAATAGTGATCATTGCAGAGGATGTAGATGGCGAAGCTCTTACTACTCTCGTATTGAATAGATTAAAGGTATACTGAATAAGAATTGATCTCAAGAAGTATATGGGTTATAGGTTCTCATGTTCACTTTAATTATCATTATTTTCAAATACACAGTTGAAACTGAAACATTTTATAATGTGTTAGTGGCTTGTCAGATATCTCAAATTTAGGTATTTTACATGTATTATCATGCGTACATGCAGAGGGCTTGTCTGCATTTCGTGCAATTGCATGAACTCGTTGGTTCTCTCATATGTTGGAACTTGAAAACAATTTCATCTATTGGGGATTTGAGATTTATGCTTATGTATATTAGGTTAGTCTTCAAGTGGCTGCTGTGAAGGCACCTGGTTTCGGGGACAACAGGAAAAACACATTAAAAGATATGGCTATTGCTACTGGTGGAACAGTATTTGGTGATGATGCAAATTTATTGAAAATTGAAGATGTTCAAATCAGTGATCTTGGAGAAGCTGAGGAAGTTGCTATCACCAAAGATGATACCCTTATTCTGCGCGGCAAAGTAAGTTCTGTAATTTCAGTGTATCTATCAAGTTTGAATTGTGCTTCTAGTATATTAAAAAGTGCAGTATGGTGTACTTCATAATATTTTTGTTTCTTCAAGGTGACTACTATTTGATTGGAATTGTGGAATTTTGCAGGGAAACTCTGAAGATCTTGAAAAGCGCATATCATTGATTGAAGATGAATTGGAACAAAGTTCATCGGAATATGAAAAGGTTCATTTGAGATTTTTTTTCCCATTTCTCAGCTTGAATCCTCTCTTGATAAGCTTTTCATTCATTTCAGGAGAAGTTAAATGAACGGTTAGCAAAACTTTCTAAAGGTGTCGCAGTCCTGAAAGTTGGCGGAGCAAGTGAAGTGGAAGTAAATGAGAAGAAAGATCGTGTTACAGATGCCTTGAACGCTACAAGAGCTGCTGTAGAAGAGGGTATTGTTCCAGGTGGTGGTGTTGCACTTCTGCGTGCTCTAAAAGCCATTGAAAATTTCAAAGGAGACAACATGGATCAAGAAAAAGGTTGCTTTGAAAATATCTTTTTATGGTTGGGTGATATTCTTTTGAAGTGATTAGAATGCATTTGAGTATGTTATGGTTGTTGTAGGTATCAGAATAGTGCAAAAAGCTGTACGAGAACCTATCATGACTATTGTAAAGAATGCCGGTGTAGATCCATCTTCTGTAGTAGAGAAAGTTCTCTCCAGCAGTGACATTTCTTTTGGGTATGATGCCTTGAACGATATTTTTGTCGATATGTTTAAGGCAGGTATTATTGATCCAACGAAGGTGATTCGAACTGCCCTACAGGTGATTTTTGTTTTTTATTTTTGAGTGCAAAAGGTTTTTGTAGGGGAATACAATGTCGAGAATATTTTTTAAATTTTTATGGTATTCCTTAGTGAATAATTCGTAGTCCATGATTAAATTGAAGCAAGTCTATTGTTGTAGTTCCAGAGTTTGATAGTAAAGTAAGGTACTGCAAGTGTGTTAGCTCGAAATCTTGTGCACAGTCTTTTTTGTTGTCTCCAAAAATATTCCTCGTAGGTGCAGTTTGAAGAAGAAAAGTTGCATGCTTTAGGGATTTTTTTTTACAGTTCACTGTGATTGTCGAGAAGCAACCATATTAATTTTCTAGGATGCAGCTGGTGTTGCGTCACTGTTGGCCACAACAGAATGTGTTGTCACAGAAATGCCGAAAGAAGAGCCGCAAATGGCCAGTGGAATGGGTGGCGGTATGGGTGGTGGAATGGGAGGTATGGGAGGAATGTATTGATTACGGTCAAAATGTTTTGAAGTAATATCCCCAGCATTTAGGTTAATTTTTCATTTTGTTAGCATTATGAACATGGCGACCCTGCAAAGTATTCAACAGTAACTAGTTGATTTTTCCTTGAGTACAAATTGGAATTTGAATCTTTTTTTTTCTGAAAGGCTCTGTTATTCTTTTGCTTTATGATTTTGAAATTATGCGCGTAATCATTTTTTAAGATGTGTAACGTAGTTTTATATCTCATTCGTGAATAACTGATTTTATGTAGGCCATTTCTCTTGTATTTCACATCATATGCAGTTGTTGTTTGCTTTTTGCATCTTGTTGCCTCATACAAATCATTATATCACATTTTCAAATTGTCCAGTGGCACTTGTCCTATCGTTTGTTGTTTTTTCAGTTGGATGTATCACATTGGATTTGCATGTACGAGTATGAACATCATTTTGTAATATTTTTATGTTCAGTAAAGATAATATATTTTTTTCCGCAAAACAAATATGGCGTGAGAATTACATAGATTATGGGGTGCAGGAGAGGGTGGCGTGTGGTTGGGGTTTGGTTATTTAAGGATAGAATGCAGGCCACCTTGGATCGAACTAGAGGATTTGTCATAACTGTTGATGTGTCTTAAAAGCAGTTCACTTTGTTGCAAGCGTTTGGTGGAATACCAAAGTTTATTGGTTCAAAGTGCTGACGAGAGGAAGTGAAGTACTGCGAGACTTTGTGATGAAGTATTAGAAATCTAGTCATTTTATGCTATAACGATTCTCGATTACAATAGTTATATATGTGTATTTGTTTCTTTTGTACCTGAAAATTGAGAATAACCAAACGATTAACAACTCATTTCAGTTTCTCATATCCCGAAGACTTCATTCCATGTGAGGCTGATGCTAAGACTGTAAAAAAAAACGAAGGTAGATATATTTTTATACATTTTGCGTAATTATAAACAAATGACTATAATTGTTCTAATTTAGCTTTTCATGTCAAACAAATATTCACAAATTTAACACATCTTAAATAGCGTACTTTTGTATGCTTTGTACATTTGTTATAGGCGTGTAACATACAGAATCGTGAAGCGAAAATATCACTCTTATGACTGTAGTGCTTGTGATAAAAAAAAGTTTACAGCAATTATGAATCCTGACTTGTTTTGTTTTGCTAAATTGAAGATATCAAAAATGCATTTCATGACCATTCCACAACATACAAATAACTGATTATGTTTTTTAAGAAAACCGAAAATTTGTTAACAAGTACAGACATTTCCTTTTTTAGTAGTATTCCCTACTAACTTTTAAAAAAATAAAGCATTTGTCCCGCCTTGAATTCAGTAATAACTAAAATTTGCAGCACAGAAATTAAGTTAAAATTGCCTTCCTCACATTTTTTGACTACAATTACAGTAAGTAATCAGTCATACATACAAAATATGGAAGAATCCAATATGATTTACAATATACAAACAAGAATAAATGTTGACAGTTCTGCAAAAAAAATTTAGTAGAATGATAAAAAGCAATGCAGTTTTGCTTGAAACTTATCAACGTAAACTTATTCAATTCAATGTGTACAGAATGAGTTATTCGTAAAGTGACACCAAGATATGACAAAAATACTCTCAACTAATACAGCAAGAAAAATGTACACATATTTTATATGAAGTTAGCAACCAGTTATTATATAAGCAAGACTATTGATAATACACAGTTGACCCATGAATTAACCCTTGATGAAGAAATCAGTAGTATGGAGAATATTTTGGATTCTGGGGCATCTCTGTTGAAGACTGCAATTGATAGTTATTTACATTTTTACCCAGTTCAAGATTTAAGATTTCTAAATCGTTCTTCTGAGAAAACAACATCTTTATGTCATTATGAATATACAACCGTCCACGGCGATCTGTTGCCAAACTGAAACAACAAAACGTGTTTACATTAAGTTTTCCTGAGCAATATTACATCTGCGCACGGATACATTTATTCTCAATTATTTAACTTATTTCTTGACCACACAACTTTGTATATTTTAGTATTGAAGGAAGATCAGAAAATATTTCAGTAAATAAAAAGGCAATCAAAAGTTGATTACTTAAATGCATTTATTTTGATGCACAAAAAATGGATCAGAAAAGTATATTTGAATCAAATATTTTTTGCGCCAAATCAATAAAATTAATAATTGATTAATAAAAATCTTGAAGAAATGCTTTAAAAAAATCAAAAAAGGGAATAGCGCTATAATGCTACCTACCTTAAGTGTATTAAATGCTTTAGCAAGGAGCGAGACATTTTATTACTCAAATATGCTGTAGGCATAAAAGAAGTACGTTGACGCAGAAAAGTATGTGACGAAGGTGGCATATCACTGACATCAAATTTGATCAAGAACATTCGAACCACTGTACCCTGAGGGTTGAACAGCACCTATAAATATACTTTTTAGATGATTTGTCGGTACAAAAATACTTCAGTAATATAGATTAAATGAATATTGAGAGAATAAAATCATGCTTTGCATTATTCCTATTAAATCAGTCTTGTGAAGTTCTAAATTCTACCTCATAGAGCACAGTAACGATGAATTCTCAATTAAATTCGAGTGATCTGTTCATATTTTCGATTACCAATGATCAAAGCGTTTTATGCGCTTATTCAAGCATTAAAAAAGCTGACAAAAGTTTTCATTACTTTTTTATTCAATTTTTCCATTTATTTTCCATTAAGTTACATTTTTTCAGCAATGATAAATATTTTCATTTCACTGATTTGATCTACAGAATATTCCTGCAATCATTAAATAAATCAAAAAATCACACCATATATACTTCATGAAAATGATTACCGCTTGTAGAAAGCCTTTCTTGGGTATTCGATAACCTCTACGCATATGTTCTAAAGAACAGACAGCCTGAAGATTAAATAAAATAATAAACTTTGAAATGACTTATATTTATAAAAGCCTGAAATGATTTTGATAATTTTTTAAAGCTTCTCCACAGATGAATAATACAAAAGTTGTAAAAAAATAAAACATAAAATAATACCAAAACTGTAAATTAACGAACCAAAAAAGGTGATGGTGCTTCATCATCAGGCATACTAAAAAAAAGTGTGGTAGCAGGTAATGTAAGATGAGGTGAATGAGCTGTATCACTAGCTGCTGAAAGTTTCATATTTTCATTCTTTTAAAAATAATAATTTTCGAGGTATTTTTGGTACTTTTTGCTTTTTCAGCGATTACTTGCAAAATAAATACGCATAATAAGCATTATTCTTGTCTGAAATTTTAATTCAAAATAAATTTCCGTTAGGAACAAATTTTTAATTTATAATTTTAATATAAAAATGAAATTTGCAAAAACTAACCAATTTGTAAACTAAAACCATCTAAAGATGTAACAGGTTCTAAACGACCGTTTAATGCACTTTCTTCAAAATTGCATAATAAACCATTGCATGAAGACAAACGTCTCCTGGTGAATATATTTTTATTAATATAGTAATCGTTATCAATCACTTTTACACTGTAATACCCCATAATTTTGAAGCTTCATTTTCAAATTTTAGTAATTTTTTGCCAGTTAATACTTTTTTACTCATCGTTAATACCTGAAAGAAATGATAGCTTTCAATTAATTACAAATAAGTTTGATTAAAATAAATTTAATAGTCAGTCCTTAACAAGTTTTCTATTGAAGAAAAATATTTGTATATACACTGATATTTTTGAAGTATTATAATAAATTGAAAGCTTCAAACGAAATAATTAAGCGACCAACTTTGCAGTTCTCGATTTAATTTTCGTTGTTTTCTTGAGTATGGTTTCATTCTTAGCTCTTTTATTAATTTTTTGCTCGATGATTTTAGCAGAATTGTCATTTGAAGGAGCAGAATTTGAAGTTAAAGGCACATCTGTTCCTTTGGAGACGGTTTTAAACGTGGAAGCATAGAGATTTCCAGGTAGCAAAACTTCTCTATGCAAAGTAGAAACAGTAGTCACACGTTGTAAAGAAGTATCTTCGAAAGGAACTGATGAACAACGAGAATCTGACAAACATTCAGTAATAACCGATTTAACACTTTGCCCATTTCCTTTTATAATTTTTCGATCGTCAACTTTAACTATAACTTTTATAGCAATTATAAAATAATACTGTATTGAATTGCAGTTTTTAAACAAAATTAAATGAAAGTAACAAGATATAAAAATGAAGTAAACAAAAATGACAAAACCAATGCTTATTTTTTAAATAATATCCACTTTTTCCTTTAAAAATGATTATTTTTTGGTTTTCAAGAATGATCTTATTAAAATATTACCTTCTTTATTACTTGAAGATTTACAAAATCGATGAGTTCGTGAATATGAATGCACATAAGGTGAGATAAAAAGCAGATATCCATACATAACCAACAATTTTTGATAATCATTTCTTGAAATCTGCGCATAATGCATTAGTTTCGAATTTATTACGACTTTGGACTCAGCTAAATCATCATTATCTTTCTTTACAAAGTCCATTTCTGTTTTGCAAGTAGTGAGATGAACTGGTAGATTAGACAGAACTTCTTTGTTAAACTGTATAAAATAAGGTAACAGCCAGTCACCAAAGTTTGATCTGCAAAACTAAGAATGAGAGACAAGTATGTACAAGTTTTAACGTACAGGAAACCTAAAAACAATGAAAATCTTACTTTTCGAATTCCGTATATGATAACGAATTTGAACAAGAGTTTAAATTCCGCGATTTTTTAATTGCATAAGCAGAAATTATTGAATAACACTTGAGAAAAAATATTCGAATTTTAAAAATATTTAGTTGATTGCATAGGTTTGTATCGTTAATTACTGATATCCTGAAATTTACACATACACATCAGGGAGGTGCCTGGCAATCAAACAATTTAACAGATGTAAATTTATCCCTAACTAATAACTTTGCATAAAAATATTTTAACAGAAAGAATAAAAAAGATGGATCTTTTTACTTTATATTCATACAGATATAATCAAATACTTCGATAGAGTAAGTTATAGGAAAGTTCACGATTGAATCACACAAAGCTGTTAAAAAATGCGCTTAGATATGTTGACTGTGCAGAAAGGGAATAGAAAGTTAGCCTTAAAAAATTTCAAAGCATTACCTGTACTTTTTTCGATTACAGCAAAATGAAGAATAATCAATCTCGTATTTACAGAATGCTTTGTGCTGAAACTGACTCGTGTTACATACTGTACAAGAAGTTAAAATTGAACTGACCTTTTGCAGAGTATCATATTATGTACCTTTAATATACATGGATTAAAACAGTGGTTATTGAATAAAAAATGTTAAATTTTATCCAAAATTAACCACTGAAATACTCATTTCAAGGTCCTTGTTACGAATTGAGGAAAGTAATCAAAATAAAATCACTACCAAAAATAAAGCTCAAATTGTAGAAAAAATGTCAACAAAAATTAAGGATTACTAAAAACTAATTAATTTGTTTTTTTTAAAATTAATTAAATTATAATTAATAAATAAAGAGCTTACTTGCTGGTCTGCTTTTCTCTTTAATATAACTTTAATTATCCATACTTCAAGTACTACATTCCTTGTACATATCAAAAATTTTAGATAACGTTGTCGATAACCAACAAATATATGTATGATTAGAGCAAAAGTATTCTTGATAATGTCAACATATTTTTGGAAAGTTTCTTGTAGAAATTGAGAATTTCCACCATAATCAATTATGAAATGTATAATTTTGATACACAGTTCCATAGCCAGAATTAACGATACGTGGATGAATTTTTTGAAGTATTCTAAAGATAAATAATTAGCATAAAGCAATAATTTTGATTATACAAAAGCAGTAAATAATATAGTAAAAGATTTAATCAATAAAAAAATGCTTACAATACTATACAAACTTAAAGCAAATATATTTTTCCAAGTTCAAAGGTTAACAGTAAGTTATATTTTTAATTACTTTGGCTAGATATATTATTATAATGATAAATATTTACTGGTAAACGATATGAAAAAACTTGCCTGAATAATTATTAGTGTAGAAGACTGTAACATCCATTTATATGGCAGTTGAAAGCATGAAAGTGACAACAGTTATGCAAACGATTCATTCCATTCCTTGTTTGGTACAACAAAATTTTGCTCATTTCGTGCTATACTGACAACATTTTGCTGTAAGTAAGTAGTAATTTTTTTCAAATTTTCATTAAAATCAGTCATATTTTGAGATAAATAAATAATCGCAAGCTTCTTATTCAGTACTTTATCGCTGCTAGAATATTCAAGCAAATAAATGAGAGATGTAAACAGACGCAAACTTTTGAAAAATTTGAATAATAACTATACTTTTCTACAGATCTGATCGATGATTCTGGCAGAAATTAATAAATAACTACAAAAAACAAAAGCTAGCAAAATTTTAAAAAAATTATGCAGAAAATCCAATCTGTGAAGTTTATTGCCAGATGGATATTCATGGATATAGGTCAGTCTGTCAGTCAGTCTTTAATAAAATAACTAAATCTTGATAAAGGAGAAAGTAGCAGTAGATTTCAACGAGAGAGCAGTAAACTTGAATTGATAATATAGTTCTTTTGCCAACACTGAATCTCTTTCCTTATGTCATGTGACCTTTGAACTATTTAATTACTTCATCAAATTATGCTGTTAATTTAATCCTTATTTCTTCGTAAAAATCTTTGAAATTTTATAAAGACTTTCAGAAAATAAAAGGAAGAATGTGGGAGAAAAATGCAAGTGAATAAGTGCAGGGTAGGGATTTGCAGGAAGACACTATCTAAGTGAAAAATCTACTTTACGCTGACTAACATCTGATCTGATCTGATCTGATATGTTAGTTGATATGTAAGCAACACATATCCATGTGAAAACAACATGTTTGTGAAGTAAAATAAATAGTTCAAAGTTCATAAGACGAGAGAAAAGCAGAAATGCAATTCCATCTTCACAAAAATTACGTGCGTGCGCTTGTGTTCCTTCCTTTCTTGCAAAATACTGCACACGATCGATTCTTTCTGTCATGTCACAAACGACTCAGTTTTTGCGAAGTAAAACAAACTTTGTAGTGGCTGTGTGCAAATGCACTTGTCAGCCACATGATAAATTTCCGTGACCCTTTACTTAGTATCAAACCATTCCTGTCTTTAAATATGCCACAACGTTTGATTCTATGTGGAAAATTCACTATCTTCAAAAGTCAGAGTCATTTTTGAATTTGTGCTCATGACAGCTGCCAATATAATAACCAATAGTGACCAATATCAATCATGAATACTATGTGCAACTTCAATGACAAAATGGACTGACTGAACCATTAAAGAGTAAAGATAAACTGCTCACTGCAAACGATTAGAAGCAATTACGATTCAGATACTGTCTTCAGGTGATTTTAACATGACCCTTAGTAGTGTTTATTTTGAAATGATTTAAATTAAGAGTTGGTAACTTAATAGCTCCTCTATCTGACCTTTGATATCCTCAAAGATTACATTCCAACACCGTTTACATTTAATAAAAGAAGCATACAATAAGAAGCGCAGTTGTATCAATCAACCTTTTGCTTATATGAAGAACTCATGAATGTGACACACGGATAAAAGCTGTTTAGTGCTATTACGAACGACTTCCTCATACTCTTAAAGTGCTATTCAAAAAGACGAAAAAAATTTGATTATTAAGGTTCAGGACTAAAGGTCGGTCATCTAAGCTATTATGTGTGCTTATCTTGCAAATTTTTCCACTAAAAGTACGCAAAATTATGCAGAAAACTAGCAAGTGTATATCATAACGATCTGATATGATCTTATCTGAATACAACTGAAAAAAAATACCGTACCAGTTAGCTAAAATATTAGACATTTAACAGTTCTATTCATTAGTTGATAAAAGATTAGTTATTATTGTAAGTGAAAATAAAATATGCAATAAATGCAGACGAACAATCCAAGTAACTTTCTTTCCACATTCTTTGAACAGACTTTATGCTCATGCTCTCAGCAATATAATTCACATCACAAAAAGCACCATAAAAGAGCACATTACTAGCTAAATATTTACTTCTGCAAGAATTAAAATCTACCATACGCTTGCGAGTATAGTACTTACTATGCAGTGATAACAAACTATTCATTCATTCAGTGATTCTTTATCGCTTCCAATTTGTAGAGATAAATATATCTTCAGCTTAATTCCACCAGCCAAACAAAGTCAGACAAACAAATTTAATAGATTTGAGGTAAACTTCGGGCAGCTAAATGGAAATGAATTTCTATCGATTCATTACATGTTATAAAGAGCTAAATTAATGTCCAACTGACTAGCTTCTTTCTTCTGCAAAGTTTTTTTGAGTCGATTCATTCGAATCTTTTCGAAGCCTTTCTCAAAGATGAAAGGCCAAGCAAACATTCACTGAGAATAACACATTAAGGAAATAAGATAACAAAGTAAACATTGTAAGCCAATTCTTCTTGAAACTCTTCAACTCTAACAACAAACAGTTTACTCGTTAAATCTTTATTTTTCAAAATCATTCAGTCTTGATTTCATTTGGCTGCTCAACAGATCGCAGGATCTTGCGCTTAGTTTCCCCTGCTAGATGTTTTATTCTCTCAAATTCTAACATTTCTTCTTCAATCGCTAATTCTTCGTCAACATCAGTCGCAACTTCTCGATAATCAGCTATGAGGTCATACTTTCGAAGATCAGTGAGCTACAAATAGATTTCTTCTTACTCACACTACTACAAGAATTAAAATGAAAAACATTTTTCAGCACAAAATAACTCTGAAAGTACACTTTGCAATTAATACACATTACACATCAAAAATGTGTTTCACGTTATCAAAAAAAAGTTTAATCCTTAAAATTGAATAGCAGAAGAAAACTCGTAAAAAGTTTATAATTTTGTTCATTGCTAGATAAGATAGATAGTCTCATAAGTTCTGTAACATTCTTTTACTCACGATCTGCAAAGTCATGTTATTAGTTTCATGAATTTTTTTTATTCAAAAAATAAACCGACTTTTGTTTTCATCAATTTTTTCTTATACCAAGCAGTTTGTTGCGTCCACACATCTTCTATTCCTTTGTAATCAAATAATTCCCATCTTCTGGTCCAGGGAGGTGGACGTAATTTGACCTTCAAAGCATAGCACTATCAAAAAATGTAATATGCATACTGTTTATAATTAAAATCAGTGAATTTGACAAAATAGTGATCAAACAATATAAGTGAAAGTAAGTTTGCATAAAGTTAATAACTACAACATTATTAAAATGCTTAATACATGAATAATAATGACTAATATTTCAGTTATTTTTTTAAAATTTATCGTCATCAAATAGAAGTTTTTTTTAGAAACAAATTGATTTAATCCAACACAATAGCTACACAGCAGTAAAAATAAAATATACATATTTAGAAATGCAGTACTTTTATAGGATTCACAGGAACTGGTTTACCCCAAACAGGAGGAGTAGGTTCCATGTGCATGTCGAATGTGCTGTATTCTGGATAAGCATCCACCAAATAGCTCAAATCATCATCAAGACGTTTTTCTAACTTCACAAGTTCTATTTTCGTAATTGTTGGTGTGTACATTTCATACATAACTTCTACTCCTTTAAAATTTCAAGAATGTTACTCCATCATGGAATCAAAAATGAACCTATTCAGACACGAAATATCTAGACAAACCTATTCCTTCAATCACATTCCTTAAAGTAAACTGCGACTTTAATCCTTCCAATTTACGACTAATGCAAATACCAAGAAATCGATTCTTCAATCCAGTTAATTTTTTATCCGAATAAGTAACAGCAAGAATAGAACCTAAACAAAGCTTGGAAGAAAAATTATCGAAAAGTAAACTCAGATTCATAAAGTAAATCTTTCTGTTTGACTCTAACACCAGCTGCATCCATTGAGAAATCAAGAAATGATTTTGAGACGTAGTTTTTCCTTATATTTGATTTTTAGACTAAAAAATTTGAGACTGAAATAAATGAAATTTTTAAGCAGTTCAAAGATAAATTAATTTAGAAGTACTAACCAACGTAGAATTCAGGTATATCTATTTGCAAACGTCGTTCCAACATATCTTTCCTCTCCAGTTCTTCCCGTAACTCATTTCTTCGTCCATATATAGAGGTGGGTTGGAAATCAGGATACACCTGCCTAAAAAAATTTTCTGAAACAGTAGAAGTGTGAATCAACTAGCTGAAAAATAAAAGTTAACAAGAATAACCTGAAGTTTGGTATGTGCTTCTCGAGTCTGATTTTCCGCTCCTCGCCACAGAAACGACGATATGTACGATGACTGAAGCATTTTGCTTCCCGTAGCAAAAGTGTCATATTACGATGCATCGATAAGTTTCAAGATGTCGATTATTAAAGCACTTAATAATTTTTACAATCAGATGCACAATTTCGACAAATTGGTATTATTGAATGATATATTTCTATATAAAGAACATAAATACTTCCGAATCATTGTTTTAGTGCTCTAAAAATATCCTAGCAGTATGCGAAGAGATCATTCGATTTATAAATATTCCCTTCCTCCGTAATTTCTTTACGGATATCTGATCAAAAAGAGAGAGATCTATTTATCCTTTCGCAACTATCTAGTTACCTATCCACCTAATCATTCTGATAAAGTCTCATTGTTTAATTACATGTAATACAACATTACAATTCCGGCACACGACTAGATCCTCAATATATCAGTAAGTAGAGTTGTGCACTTGATCAAATGATATACCTTCAAACAACAACAAACTTCGTAGTCGGCAAGACAATTCTGTGAAATATAGAAATGTCGTTTACGAATATGAAATAAATTTTTCAGCTCCTTTTCGAATGATCATGCTATCAATACCAGAGCACAAGACTGTCTGAAATTTTCTACTGAATTTATCTATTGGCAATTTAAACTAATGATGGCGGATATTTTGAACGGACATTTCAATAAATAAAGGTGTGATATAATGGAGGTGCTTTACCATTCTGAAAATCAAACCTTATTTATTCAAAGCAGTATATAACGACTGAAAATGAATGCAAAATGTACAGATTTCAATTAATGAAAGCGCAGAAAGAGATCAAAAATACACTAAACATTTCTTAAAAACTTTAATTTAAAACTTCCAAATTCTTTACATTCCTCATTACCAATAGTTTTCACTACTTCACTGTAGCTTCTGAAGGAATAAATAGATCAAGATCACATGAAATACTTCCAAGATCATATCATTCGAAAAGTGGAAGTGAATTCGAAGCATTAGCCAAACATCTACATTAAACACTGAGAAGACCACAGTCTAGGAGATAAAAATGAAAATAGGACTAACTTAGAGCAAGTAAAACTAACAGCACAAAAATAAGGCAAGCAATTCACTTCGCTCTGGGGAAATATAAAAACTATTTTGAGCATAAGAGAGACTAATTATAGAATAACAAATTTCAATAATTTGTCTTGCATTTTGAAATATTCTTACTGATAAGTTCCAAACAGTGAATTACTATTTCACTATTTATTTGATCATTTCTACAAATGATTGAATTTTTGTAATACCATACTTACAAGAATTCTATTATAATACCATATTTACAAGAATTCTATATTACGAAAGAGTCTGCAAATAAACATTCCCAACTGAAATGAAACCAATCGCTGATTTTGAAAATTTTTAAACTATCAAATTAATAAAACTGCAACAAAAATATACATCATATAAAAGTTACTGACTTCTGCAACAACATTTCAACTAGCTCAAATCTTAAAATTATAAATATACTACCATCAGAGACACTAAAAGCAATCTGTAATCAACCAAAGACAAGTAAATTCAGGCACAGCTTTCATTATTTAACAAGTAAGTGCCAACATTTTCAGGTTCAAGAACAACCAGCAGTTGAGCTCCCTGTGCCAGCAGTGAATCAGAAAATGAAACAAGGTCTTGAATAGGTATGGGTTCACTTAGTTTAGAATCAAAATTAAAAAAACCAGCATCGCCTATTTGCCGTACAGTAAACCAGTGATGCCCAGCCCAAAGGGATAAATAAGAACGTGTGGTAATGTTGAATACCAAGCCAAAAATCTTGGACAAATTCAAATTAGCAGTAGAATATCGAGAATCAAACCATTTCAAAGTCAAATTTTTCATCTCTAACGCTGCTATCAACACGTTAACATCGTAATTTCCGAGCCCCAAAAGGGAACGATGACGATTGAACCAACGTGAATCATGCAGACTTTCCGCAATGCAATCCAAATCATTTTTCTTGAATTCATTCTTCTGCAACAGTGTATTCAACGTGTGCAACAAACATAGTTGCAACTGCTGTTTTTCGTGGTACAGGTGATTAGTTCTCGGTAACTGTTCAGAATTCATCTACAAAAATAAAAATCAAAAAAACTTTCCTGATTACATAGTAAATGAATAATAGTAGTGGGATGTAACAATGAATATCTGAAACAAAAAATTATAGAAATTGAATGTCACAAAGTTAACATACAGCTTCCCATCAAAAATGAATTCCAAACCATACAATTTTCATCCTATTTTGAAATTTCGTATAACTTGAAAACCTCACTACAATCGCTATTTCTATGACTTCAAAACTTGTTATAAATTAGAAAAATAGCAGCGAATTTTCAAGAGAGTAAGAGAAATTAAACTCTAAAGATATGATAGCTTATTAGAAAATAGAAGGTAATCATTAGAAGATGGAAATAAATTTTATTCCCAATATAAACAGACACATGTCGATAATGCAGAGTACACTTATTACTGCTCATATGCTTATAATTTGTGTACAACATGGCATAAAAATAGTAGTGCTTTACCAGATCCTTTCCATAACATTCAAATAAAAACACAGATTTAGGCTAGAAAAAACAATCCAGTCACTGAATAATTTAATTTTGTTAGCAATTTACACATTGTTTGTCATAGCTCAACGACTGATTAATAAAAATAAATGTCAAATTCTTAAGATTGCAAGAAATATTTCCCAACGTTTCTCTAGCTCATTTTTTCACCTTCTGTCACATTTACATCTGCATATTAACAAAAATTTAACAGGATCGGAGAAAAAAATTATAACTCCTGTAATTGAAGAAACAAAAAATCAAATTTATGACTTCCAAAACTCTACAATTAGATGAAAGTAATATAAATCACACAAGCTTCAATTTTGACTATAAAATTCTTATAATTTTTCACCAAATGTTAATACAATTATACTTTGCAATGAATAAATTTACATTTAATTTCATTCTTAAAAACGCTTAATACAAAATTTACATACACTTTTCATTAACTTCATTTACTTTTTGTCCCCTCTCAGCTGAGCTCTTTTGCCTTGTCCAATAGGAGGATACAGCATTTTTCCTCGCGCTAGTTTCAGCCGATTCTGAAATTAATCCAAACTTCAGTACTTAATACCTTAAAGAATTTCATTCAAATACTAGATGATAACATTTCAAAACTAAGAAAAAAAAGGAAAATTCACTAATAACTACCACAATTGTATGAATTAAATGGAACAAATTCTGTAAAGTATGTGATATAAATGCATACATACCTGTACTTCTCTCCAAACTACATGTTCATCAAAATAAAGACCATGAAATCTTAGAAGTTTCGTTAAATAGTGAAACATTGGTTGGTTTGGATAATAATCAATCTGAAATTTACAAGACTGCTTGACATTCAGTTAATTTTCTCCAAAAAATATTAAAATTTGTTATACTTTATGGGTTTTAAATCAGTAATTAGTACTTAGCTTATTATAAAACTAACCTCATACCACAAATCACAGAAATGTCTAATATGAAATTACATTACTGATAAAATCTGTGTACAGGAAATCAGTGCAATATTATAACAACGTGAAAAAAAGTGGTTAACTGATTTGAAAGGCTGTTGTTCTAGTGGTTCTTCAGACATTACTCTAACAACTTTCAGATTTTTTGATTCAGTTTCTCTTGGTGGTTCAGTAAAGATTTGTCTTGACAAATCATTCATATGCTTCCCGTAATCAGTTTCACAGTTAATTCCACGTCCAGCTAAATTGATACGTGACTTCATCGTTTTAACTGCTGCTCCTATGAAACATAACTACTTTTGCTTTAGTTTGCTTCAAAAGAATTTTTGTTAAAACTGAGTTTTATTTCATGTTTGCTGCTATAGCTAACGTTTCAAATCCTATGAATTGAATGACAACCACGTATGGCACATAAACTTATGATAGCAATCTGTTGGTTAATTCAATCATACAAATTTATTAAATCCGCGATAATTACCAAATATCACAAAATTACCGGTTTTTGATACGCGCAAAGCTTGATTTGTCCTTGAAACCAATGTCTTCACCCTCATCGCCATTTCTTTTGATATGCTAAAAATGTATGTCTCCAAGTCATTTAACACACTATTTAGCTTACTGCTTACTTACTAAGCTAGACTTAAGTTATATTATAACTGATGTTCAACATGTAAATAATATAAATATTTAAATACATGCTTGGTAACTCCCTGCAACACTTATGTTCTGTGTTAGATATTCGTTAAATTCAATTTATTTTTGCTTTAAAGATCAGCAGTGAATCGTAAGCTTAAATTTTTATCGTACACCATACAAGTGTTAGCACCATTATGTTTAAAATCTGCCTTTCTATAAAAACGAAAAAACATGAAGCAAAATTCAGTAACACTGATTTTTCCACTATATCAATGAAAACATGTCATCAGTCAAATAGTTTTATGGATGAATTATAATCGTTCAAAAAGATGCCCAAAAAAACTATTTCATTACTTCCAACTTCAATCGGAATCACTTCCAATATTTTTGCATGTGGCTGTTTCTCAAGAATTTTCACAGCGATACTGTCGAAGTGTTATAGAATAAATTGATAGTTTAGAAGTAATTGCAATAATTTTTCATATTAAATTTTGAATTTGTGTTTAAAATAAATTGGATTTATTTGGGATCGCTGGGATTTTCAGGATTTACAAAAGGATATATTGAACTATTGCACGAATTTAAGTTGGCACATTCGAATAATCCGGAATTATTTGAATGTCTGGAATGGAAAACGATTCTGAGGTTTTTTTAATTTCGGAAGCATAGAATAAAGCTTAGAACTAGTTTTATTTCGTTTTCATTTGATTCGTTACGGATTTCATCAATGCTACTCAATTTATTCTTTTTAATTAACGTATTGTTTCCTTTACCATTTGGTTTTAATACTTTTTTAGTTGAGTTCATTTGCGTATGAAGTATTTAGTGTTTGCTGGTATCTAGCGAAACGAGTGATCCATTTGCGACGGTACTAATCAATCCAAAAACTGGTATTTCTTGTTGGTCCTACAAGGGAGTAGAGTTACAGGGAACTGTGACAGGTTTTATATTTTATTGTTGCCTAACAAATTGCAACATTTGCATAAAATTGTGGCCAAAAAATTTGCTGTATTTCATTTGATAGTTCCATCACTCACATGTAATTTTTGAAATATATTTTTTTTCTATCTTCATAATTTTTTGTTCAAATAATTTTTTAGAAGATGATTTGATGACCTGCGTATTTGCATACTTTTCTAGGATGTGTTGAATTGCTTGGTCGTGATCGATTTGTTGTAGTTACGAAAAACAAACCCTTATTATATATCATTTCTATTGACGGTAACAAACGTACTTATGCTAAAAGTGTTGTACCTAAAGGTGTTCGATATGTTGCTGCTACATTCGATGGTAGCCTACTATTTGCTGCTGTTCATAATAAAGTGTACATTTGGATTGTAAGTATACTGCCTATATTTAGAAATAATTCATTCTTGTCGTTTTGAGAGTTTGTCTTAATTTTTTGTTCAAAGTTGTAGGTTGCTACCGGCGAGCTTGTCGGAATTACTGATGCCCATTATCGTCCCATTTCTTCACTAATTCTTAACTCTGATGATTCTTTACTAGTAACTGGAGCAGAGGATGGTAGCTTGTGTGTGTTTCTCGTTGCTGAGTAAGTCTTATTAATAACCAGTATCTGTAGAAACCTTAGAATATTTAAATGAGTTCTTAGATCTGATTTTCAATTCTGCATTCTTAACTGTTGTAGTTATACTATAAATTGTTTGTCAGTAGTTTACCATTTTCGTTTTGAAAAAACAGCTTTTATTATCTTTTTTAATGAAATCTTTAATATGTAAATTCTTCGAAATGAGTTCTTGTAATTGAGCTACATTAATAGAAAGGACACTTGAGTTTCTGAAGCAGAATGGGAAATCAGATCTAAGAACTCTCTTCAATATTCTACGTGCATCTTATCATGCGCTTGCCATGCGAAATCGTGAGAATAAATTAATATATTCATGTAATTCTCACAGGTTGATGTCGACAGACTCTAGTTTAGGCCATGTTCAACCATTCCGTGCATGGCAAGCGCACTCGTTGGCAGTCAGTGATATCTCCGTAACACGTAATTCAAATGTTCGTATCTTATCATGCTCTAAAGACAGTACTATTTCTATTCATTCAGTTACAGGCAATATGTGTCTGTTAAAGGTAAGCAGTAAACTTATTCGAATTTCCTCAGTTTTTCGAAATTGTCTTCTTGTATCTTGTGATATCTTATACATATATATTCTATTCTACTTAAGGTTTTCGCACTTTTCTTGTTACTTAATTTATTTCCTAACTGCAAAACGAGGATAATTTTGTAGGTCTCGTGCGATGCACTTATTTCATCTTGTGCGATCGATCCTGCCGAATGTCGAATATTTTTGGGTGCAACTGAAGGACATATAGCACAATTAAATCTTTATACTTTGGTATGTCGGTTTATTATTTGCTCTTTATATAATGGTAATGCATAAATATCTATATTAATAAATTTGTCGACTGCATACCAGTTTTATAGGACAAAACACAAATATTTCTTAATACCAAAGAAAGTGTTAACGGAACTTTACCACTATTCAAGCTTCACTCTACTGAAATAACACAGCTAAAAATAAATCACGACGGCTCTTTACTTGCATCCGGTGATATTTCTGGCATTTATGCGATCTGGGATATCCGTAGTCACCAATGTTTAAGGACATCATCTTCGAGAGGTAAATCATGAACTTGTTCTTTTCCTTCCTTTTCATCCTGAAACTCTTTTAAGGAGCAATATGCAAATTGCAATTTGTCGCGCGGGATCAGTTCTTACACGGAAATGGAAGGAAAAGAGCTTTTCAAACTTCTGTTTTGAAAATGCAGATCATCAAGAAGCCATTGATGTCTGTGGTATCGCAAAATGGAGCAGGTGAAGGAGCGTGGTCATCACTGTCGGCATGTCATTTTCTTCAATAATGAATCGAATACATAGTAGTCAGATGACCCTAAATATTTTTTTCCTTGCAAATATGAGGGTATTGTAGGATGACACGTACATTATGGATCTCGACCGGGTCATTTGTGATCACGTCATCACGGCGGTAATACATTTATTTTAAACTATATGTAAATTCTTCGAAAGAGTTGTAGTACTACTCCATATTAAATATCTGTGTATTGAATCAAGACTCATTGAATAGGTCAGCTTATAACTTTGAAGTGTGATGTGTTCGAAGAGAATGATGTCTTAATCTACTCCACTAAGGAAAAAATTTCTGAAAATAAGAGTCGTTAAGTAAAGAAGAATTAGTTATACTATTTTAGATCCGACCAAACACTGTGCAGCATGCTGTAGTATCGAATACAAGCAATACCATAGAAGATATAGAATTGAAAATTGATGAGAGCTCTGATAACGTAACTATCGAAGCTCTAAAATCCAAAGTAGCAGCATTAGAAAAAGCCAATCAGGAAATCTATGATTTTGCAGCATCAATGATCATTGGTCGAGACGAGAGCACCTCGTAATCAGCTAATTCTCAAATTTTTTTTTCCACATTAATTTTTTAGTCACTGAAACTACGAGGTCAAAATGTTAAATTAATCAATTCTGACGCAGATCAATACAATAAATAAATATTAAGAAAGACAAAGTGTGGGAGCAGATAATGGATGTGCACCGATTATCTCTTTCGGGTTCACGACCTTTTTTCACGGCAGAAGAAACTTTTTTCGTATTTGTAAATTCAGTTAACCTGTGGAAGTCTTGAGAATTCACTCGTTATCTGTAACACTAGAATTTGGATAAAAATGCTTTGAACGCAAGCAGTACAAAACAATGCACAATATCACCGACCTAAAACATATGTAACTTGGATTGTGGCTGGCTTCATAGTACCACGAGTGACCGCAAATAATATCAGTATTGTCAACTAAAGAACAAACCAACAAATAAACAAGAAATGCAACAGTGACTTATGTCGCTGAGAAATACTAAAATACAAATGAAAACATTAGCATACAACAATTAACCGTAAGAAGAGATCCGCAGTAAAACCGAAAGAAAACAAAGTATGGAATAAGCACAGCTCACGATAAAAACGTAATAATTGTCAGTAATTTTGGAAACAAGTATGTACAACCGTATTTCCATTTACGTATTACTAATTGAATAGTTTTTCATTCCCCAATAATACACAATGTAAGAGGAAGTGAGAAAATATGAAATAGAACTGACTGGAACAGAGAAGAGATAGTCAACAATTTAACTGCTTGACATCTTTTCACCTGCAAATAGAGTTCTACTACTGCACATGAGTACTTCGTATGAATATATCCACCCATTTAGATATCCTCAAATCAGACTTAGCAGGCAGAAGTTACATAATATCTTCTCTAATAAGAACAAAAAACTGATAGAGTGTGACTCTCAAATCTCTGTAAGAATTGCTATGCTTCATGTTACAATATATTTAAAATCGAGAAATGCATAGCATGTTTTAGGATGAAACCACTAAAAAGCATGAAACTTAAGAAAACAAATTATGGTTTATTGTTGAGTTTTAGAATAAATGCATGAACTAGAAGAGTCACAATATTCAAGTAAATTGTATGAAGGAAATCAATTATAGCAACACTTCTACCACGTAAAACCACACCGTACTCAAATCATCACTGATCGAAATACAATGCAACAGCTCATTTTATAGAGTAATTTTTCGCAAGAAACTAAACAATATTTACTGAGCCCCACGGCTAAAAAAACTAAACTAAATGCAAAGAAAAAGAGGAAGCAGTGTATTGCATCTTATATTATGTGAAAGCTTAAGGTCTCGACGGATCAGTGTTACCTGATTTTAGACTAAACCTGTTGCCTGCAAAATGAAAAGAATCTGAAGAAACACTGCTTAAACGGGATGATGAAGGTCGACTCACTGGACACGATGGTGCAGGAGGAGATCGTGCTATTGGATTATCAAATAAAGAATGTTCTTCTTCAGAAGTCTGTGTGTTGAATGTATATGGCCTAAAAACTACAATATCATGCACATTCTGATATTACCGAATTGGTAATAAAAAATTGACAGTTAGAAAATGTTAACTACGAAAATGACCGTCTGATTTTTAGAATCCTCTAGCTAATAACAACACACGACATGCAACATAAAAAAATTAAATTTACATGTATGCAGTGCTTGCAACTCCTGAAAGACCTGTATTGAAAATTTGTTGCTCTGCTGTTACCGATGATTTCATAACACTATTAATATCAGTGACAATTGATGGTGACATTGAGCTACCAGATGAAACACAGCGAGGCGATTTAACGGATAACTAGAAAATAGCTCAATGAAAAATCAATGAAAAATGACAAATTATTCCTGAAATATTAACTTTGTGAATAAGTGATTGTTACCAATCTGGTTAATTGGTCGTCATCAAGTAACAATCATTTATTCACAAAGTTAATATTTCAGGAATAATTTTTCATTTTTCACTGGTATTTTTCATTTTTCATTAATCATTGAAATATTCATATGTCACATTTATCAGTGGAGTAATAATGAAATAAAAAGATACTGATGGGCGATTATCTCCAACGGAACATAGCTTCGCTGCATTATCTGTTTCACCCCCAATTCGCTCACGCAAATTCATTAATTCAGCTTGTTTTGAACGCAAATCCGCGTCTTTTAGCCGTAACTGCTCTGCAATACATTAAAAAAATACAAAAAATGAAAAGTCACGAAAATTACTGCCTTTTTTTGCAAGTGATTCAGGCTTAACAAAACCACAATAAAAACTGTAAATGCCTGAAGTCAGCAGTTTACGAACTTTTAACAGCAATAAATATTAAACCCAATCACCATTTCCATATTTTATGACTATTTTGGAGTTTCATTTTAACTATAATCATTTTCAAAAGAAAACATACGTTGAAATTCGGCCATTTGTCCTCTTGCTTCACTTAAAGCGCGGAATAATTCTTGTTTGAGCCGATTTTCAGCTGAAAGTGACTTCTCCAAGTGAATATTCTTCTCCCGAATAGCTCTTAGAGTTGCATGAAGCTCCTGTAAATTATTAAAAACAAGAACCCTCTTCTAGTATTCTGATATTTGTAGTTGAAACGATATACAAATTGATATTAGGAAAAAGAGCAGTAAAAGTCACCCTACGAAGATTATAAATTTTTTAAACGCTCCGCGATCATGACACAAACCTTTATATCGTTGTTTTCTTTGAAATAACGTAATTGCCTTAGCTCCTCTTCATGACTATTTATAAGCTCTTCTTTAATTTTTAGTTCACGCCGAACAATGCGCAAATCCTTTTCCATGTCAGCTCTTCTAGCTTTACACATCTCTCCGCATTCAAAATTTCTACACATAAGATACCGAGTTTTAATTAAAAGAAATAATGAGTATCAAGCTGACAGTTTTCAGCAAAACATATCTGAATCACATATTTATATACGTAAAAACCATTCTTACTCAGCAAAAAAATTATTAAAAAAGTTAGTAATAAATATTTTTCATACATAAATAACGGAGTCTAGTTAATAAAGAAATGAAAAAATACTTGACAAACTGAGCAGCAGCTAATCGTGCAGCATCATGCTCTTCTTTAGCCTTACGTCTCTCAGCATTTAGCTCTTTCTCTACTTCATTTCTTTTTGTCTGCGCATCAATTAATTTTTTTTCCAACTGTTGTATGGCCGATTTATCTTGTTCGCGTGCTTTCATTAGACTTGCCAGTCTAAAAAAGTCTATTAATATTTATTAAACTGCGAAAGCTCATCAACAATTGAAGTTTTTAAAAAACATTACTTATTGTCACTTTGCTCCTGTTTCAGTTTTAGCTGCTGCAATTCTCCCTTTAACTGTCTTTCTTCAATAACATACTGCTGTATAATGCTGCGCAACTCTGTCTCCTGAGAGCGTGCTGCTCGTAACTCACTGCGCATAGTTTCCAAAGTTTCACTGATACTCAAATACAATATTTTCGACCATTTAAAAAATTCGCATAAAAAGTGCTTGTATGAGTATACTACTATCTACTATCAGAGTTCTGCAAAATTATATCTTTTCCTGCCACTCATGAATTAAATGGAATTGGTAAAAACAATTAATTGCAAAACGACTGGGGACTCATAAGAGCATTTAAGAAAGAAGAATGACTAAAATCGGACAAGGAAAAGTATGATTCAGAATAGCGCTTCCAATTTTCATCAAAGAATGACCTCTAGAAAGACAATAGAATAATATACCGAAAAATTATTGAAATTACTCGTTGTGAAGTCTTGAGCAATTGGACGAGAAGAAATACCCGAATGAAGACTAATAATGACAACTAAAAATGAAATTAAAGCTGAAAACAAAAGCAAAAAAACTAACTAATGCTCGCTTGTTTTTCCATTATTAGCAGAAGCACTCATGCCGGATGGCACACTATTTTCAACAACTTCATTACCAGCCGATCCGCTGCTTTGAAGTGCTGTATTGCTTGTAGAACTGTACATATGCCTATCCTGTTGAACACTACCAGCAGCCAGATTTAATAAATTATTATTAAATGCACAATTGGCACCAAGAGAAGTAGAAGTTAAAGCACTGCTTGATGTTAGTGGCGACAACACACAGTCTGTATGATTTTGTAAATGACGCCCTCGAGAACGACCACCTTTTGCTTGAGAAAAACTTCTTGAACTCGGAATCAACACTACAACGTAAAGACAAGCATATCAATAAACAATTAAATATAAAAAATTTTTTTCTTTGACGAAGGCGTACAATATAAAAAAAATTAGTGAAATATTTGTTTTTAGTACAAATTTTTTTTTTTAATACAAACAGTAAGACAAATAATAGAATACATTATACTTTTGCTTTTTTTAGAACTGGTGGTAGGTCGCTGCCTGGAACTTAAACGATTTGAATAAGGCGAAGTATCATCTGGCTGAGACGAGGTTTCTTCTAACTCTATTACTTCATCATCACTTCCTACTTCATTTGAAGAAAGTGACACTCGATCATCTACTACTAATGAGGGTGATTCGAAAATTATACCAAAAATATGTAAAACAATTCCGTAAATAACTTCCCAGACTATGCGCCATAAATACATCCTGGATGTTACTAGCAATGACACTGAAAATAAAAATCGCAGAATTAAAGTGAGCACAAGTACAGCTTTGTAACATTAAAATATTTTTTGACTGTTAATAAGTGGCTGACTGCTGTAGGAATATCCCGCAGTACAAAAATTTAATCAACTGCTGACACTCTTACATTAGCTTTAATTTAGATTCTTTAACTCCCAATACGCTACTGTTAAAACAAATATATTAAACAACAATAATTTTTTCAATTAAAACTCGATACCAAAATTCGATATCACAGAAATGCTAGTGAATAAATTTATTTGATAAATTAGCCTAGCAATAAAAAAAATCAAAATATCAGTGAAGAACCAACCAGAACTAGAACTGTCATCATCACAATTACTTCCCTGCACAACCTTTCCCTTTCGCGCTGGTGCAGATCCACCAGAGACTGTGTTTTTTTTTGAACAAGTACCTGAGTGCTTCGAATTTTGTTTACTCACCATTCCTGCGCGCGAATTTTTGCGATGTGTTTGCGTTAATGGTGAAGAAGATCCACAAATAGCTAAGTTTTGAGTACCACTTAGAGAAACGTCTGCTTCATATTCTGAAAAAATTCCTGGTGTTTTCGACAAAAAATTATACTCATCAGTGCTTTTTCTACAAAGCCTGTGAGCTATGTAAAAAAAGGAAATGATGTAATGCTAAGGCTTAAAATTATGTAACAGGAAGGTTACCTTCTAAAGATGAATAAGATTTACGTTAGGTAACAGAAACACAACCTATTTGGTCATGCGTTATTGTATCACTACTCCTTGCATAAAGTTTTGGGTCATCATATAACATAGGTAGCGCTTCCGTTAGAAGCTTACAGTATACTTCATTAGCACGCGAAACTTCAAGTCGGCGTCTTTTGACTCGCCAAAGTCTACAAAAAGATCTACATAATTTACAAGGTAAACAGAGAAAAAAGACGAATCAAGAGTAACCATAATCATTGAAATTTTCAACGTTCCTTCAATACATATATTGCTTTCTCACAATGTATCCAACTGAATTGATACTTAAATCATCCGTACTTAATATATGTTTTGAGACCAAATCCAAGCGTCACAACCGGATAACCGATGCAGTGAGCAGCAAAAGGACGACAGAAGTCTGACGATAAGGAAGAACTGTGTGTAAATGCCGTCATCAAAGCAACACCTAAACTATCCAGAATACCACTGGCAGAGTTTGAAAACCGTGCTGATGTAGAGCAATCTTTTGACAAATCACTTTCAACTATCTCACCTCCAATCGATACATCTTGTAGTCCTAACGAATTCGCTAACAACCCGCCTGAAATTAGTGATTAAATTAAAGATATGCACTGCACAGCACTATTTGTAAACACCTTCATTCTCGAAGTACCTGTAAGAAAATTCAGTGTTGACGCGAGTGAAGAACCTTTTAAAATCTGTAACGGTGAATCTCCACGATAACGCCAGTTATATTCGAAAGCTATTAAAGTAAACCATAGCAAAAACTGAGTTGAACCAATACCTCGATCTGCTATAATGTGTAACCAGTGTCTTATAAAAAATAATGTACCAAACACAGGAAATTTAAAGAAAATTTAGAAACACGAAAACCTACAAGTCGACGACACCACAGTTGTGTATAACATCAAAGTAGTGTCACCACGAAACTCTGATACCTGTCTGCCAAACTAGAAGAATCCACACATATGTACTCGCAAGAAAGAAAAGCAGCTGGAAGGGTAGAAAAATAAAACATATTAGATCCGTTGTAACTGTAGCGCACACGAAGAATACAGAATAAGTCTGAAATTCAAAGAAAAAAAAATTGCAAATGTTGAAAAATCATAAATAAGAATATTTAGCATGATTTCCGCAGTTATGTGAACAAATTTTCGAAAACTGGAGATGAAAACTCACAGAATAATGTAATGTGCTAATGAGACCGTGGAATCGAAATGACTCGTAGCATCTGCGCATAAGCAACCAAACTGGATATAACAGTTCAAACCGAAATCCAATCAATAAATCAAGCGCAATACAACCTAACCATAGCAATACAAGCTTCACATACGCAACTCCACTGAAATGTCTGCAAACTATAAAGCTGGAAGGGATAGATGAGTAGTAAAATTCTATAAAGGATTGCATGTTTATGGTCAAATACAACTTGAATGAATATTTATACTTGAACATTTAACAACATGCCACAATAGAAACACAGAATCATTAGCAATGATATTGCCACAGAAACAAAGGAATTATTGGCTTAGAGTGATATAATTTTGTGCTGCAACAATTCATTCACTAAATACCAGAAACTGCTAACTAAATGAATAACAGTGCGAACTAGTTAAGTCAAATTTATGCTTGCTACTTGCATGTGGTTTAAGCTTACTAACCCACAACACATGGTCTCCGAAATACGACCACGTCCTTTCATGTTTCTGCGGATTTTCGGTAAATCGAACGTTCGCCCTGTTCTCTTCATCATCCTCCACTTATTTTTATCTTTCTTAGCACTGCAAATTTTGAAAATGGCTTGTATGCGTGAATAAAAAAGCGATACACGCGTACGTGAACGTGATTTAAGTGAGTGCAAAAGTAAGGAGACTCAAGTGAGATGTAGTATGATGCTGAACAAGTGATGCATTACTTGTGTCAAGATGTGGTAGCAAAAGAGCTAATGCGGAAGAGTAGTACGGCGGAGAAAATGATTGATAGGTAGCTAAGTGTATGTATGCGACTCACACACAACTTTATCTTATGATTGCTTCATGTATTTCACAGTATTTCATGACTATATATAACCACAGCAGACGTGATCGTTCGTGGCTGTTGCAATATATATGATAATGATATGATTCATGAAAAGAGGCGTAAGGCGCAAGTGTCTGGCAAAAATATATGAGTAACTGATTTAAGACAAGCTAAGAAGGAGCAAGAGAAAGCATAAGACCTAGTGCAGTACTTGAAAAGCAAGATAGTACGGAACGTTCTTCCTTATCTCACTGCCATTCATCCACGCTTACATTACCGTGACATCCATGCGGCAAATTACTGAATTGTCGTATTCAGAGCAATCAAAGGAGACGAGACAAAAAACAATCCCGCCAATGTAAAAAGAAGAGAAAGCAGAAGGGTAAGTTGCTTGCAAACGAGTCAGACTAAGCAATTCTAACAATTCTCAGCTTTACTAGCAAACAAGTAAGCAGACAACGTGACTCACTTAGCAGACGAGAGATCGATGCCGTTCCTGTCGACACTGCTGCAAGCAGCACTACCGCCCTTCTTACAAATTACACATAGACAGATGAGTTCATTTCAGGTCAGTTCAAAACCCACGTCTTACTGCTAACCTATCATCTCAACTGATTCTGATCTCTTCTCACTCACTCCGTAAACCGTCCTGTAAAACCTCAGTACTTTCCTTCACCTTTGTGTCGTCCTGCAGGTATCACGCCCGTCATCACATTACAAGCTTTTCTGCCTGTTCCTCTGCCTATTATGCTCATTCCATTAAATGCTGCAAAAAAACACTCTATTTCTTACTTTTGCCTGCTTTCCTTCACATAAACAACATTCATCTGTTCAGTCAGCTACAACAGAAGCAACTATTCATTCGCCCATTCGTTCATTCACATATTCATTCATTCATTCATTCATTCGTCCATTCATTCATTCATTCACTCATTCACTTAATCACTTATGCACTAATCCATCACCTCGTTATCATCAAGTCCATACTTCTACTTCATCCGTCCATGTAAGCCACATCAGAAATCTCCATCGCACCACCCGCCACCATTGTCCTGCTCTTCCTTCATCTCTCCCCTTATTATCTCTTCTTGCAGGCAGCTCTCTCGGCATTGCATTATTTGCCCAAATATTCATCACTCGCTCTTCACTCACCGCAGTCATCAATGCTCCTCACTTCATTCGAAAGCGGTCATTCTCCTTTCCCTCCCTTATCTGTGTAATCAGCGAACTTCTTGTAATTATTCTGTTCCTTCTCACAATAACTAATTGTCCACTGCTAAATGCAAACTACTCTTTCTTCCACTTCATCCTTCTTCACCTCTCAGCAACTCAATAATTATTCATCCATTTGATATGCTGCTAGGGGTGCTAATATAACGAAGATACTAGTTATGTTCCCAACATTGCTATTATTATATCACTATTATTGTTTTTGTCATCATTATTATCACCATTTTACAGCATAACAAGAGTAATTGCAATGTGCTTGCCACGAACTTCACATCATTACACACAAACGAGAGAAATATTGCACTTCTTCAGTCTTCTTATAACATATTATGCTTGTTCGTCCGCAACTTCAAAGCACAAATGTGCACAACATTTATGTAAAGTAAATATACAAACAATTCAAGTGAACAAACGAACTTCAATTTTAGAAAACTTTCCAAGAGGCGAACAAACAGCAAATCATTCATGCAACCTTGCCATTTGCATACAACTACAGAAACAAGATTGCTTATGTTCTAAACTCAACGTACCCGCAGTTCACACTTTATGATTTTAGCAGCTGAAAATTCTCACAAATGCACTTTTCGCTAGTTAAAGTTTTTGCTTGCATCTTAAACACAACACAAATTATCACTATTTTTTCATGGCTATAATATATGTAAGAGAAAGGATTATCTACTGACTGCCTATAAACTGGGAGCACAGAAGAAACGCAGAACGGAGAAAAGTCTGTATGTGATGACTTAGATGGGATAGTAACGAGCTTCTATAGACGTTACGTGAAGGAAAATAGTATGTCTGATCACATGAAACATATTCCCAAACGATAGTGCTCAAGTAGACGTTCGAAAGCATTTCATGCAATCATGTCGAGGATTCGATGAGGATGAAGCCAGCAGAGATCAGCACAGCAGGACTGAGCATGGGGCTAGTGCAGCGAGAATGCCAAAATACGATCCAACACAGAATCGATAATAAAGAAGATTAGCCTCCGTGTGATACTGATATATATTAATATCTTTTTTTCCTGTACTTGTACTACTTGCTATTTCTTTCTATAATTTTTTCTACTCTTTATACTAATACTTGCAAGCCTGTCGCTAATCCGAAAAATAAAAAGGCGAAATAATAAATAATAATAATTTTTTTAAAATTCTTGGTAAAGTTTAAGAATAGCTAACAGGGAATACTCCACATTAATTTCCTACTCCATTCATCATTATGTCTTCTGTTACAAACAATAATTGAAAATTAGTGACTAACGCAACCATTGCTCTTCCCCTACTCAATAAACACGTGAATGTTATGATCATTACGTTGAGCTCTGTGATGAATACAACGAAAGCCAAAATGCAACTTTCTGCTAAATATATCTGGTCTGGTAGTGACATTTGATCTGATTAAAACTGAAAAATCTAGCAAAAATGATATACAATGCATTCATTTGCTTTTTTGCCAAGGTAAAATTTAGCTTTTTCTAAGGTATCAGATGAGTCATTTACAAGCACTTAATCAAATGTCTCACTTGAAAACTGAATACAGACTCAGTTCTTGATTAATAATATCATTAATTCACATAATATGAGCATAATTTGTCTTTTCACTACTTGCAACTCAGCTTAAAATACTCTCAAAAAACTTACATGTAGTTGCAAAATGCAAAAAATGCTCATATTTGCAGATAATATCAGTTAAATTAGTAAATGAGTTCTTAAAAGTTGACAGAATGTAAATATTGCTTACTTATATAATATAATTACTTTAATAAATAAAATCCTAAAGTAAACAATAATATGATACGATGAGTAACACTGAAGTATTGTTCTGCAACGAGAACTGAAATAATCACGACATTTTAAACAAGACAAATTACGAAGAAAGAAACAAAAATAAAGAACATTCAATCTAAAAACAACATCTTTTTTATTTGCCGGCAAAAATGTATCGATTTTTTTACAGATCAAAAACGTATTGATTTGTTTAAAATATAATACTTTCCAATTAAATATTTCTAAAGAAATTGTGATTGTTTTTAATACTTTCATCGTAAACAATCTCGAATATACTTCAAGAACTTCTTTCTGTTACTTGTCAGTTGCAAATGTTGGTGACGTGACCCAGATAAACACAAAGTACTCACATTCACTATTAAAGAAGTGTGAGTGAATGAGGCAAGTATAGGTCTAATTACACTTACTTCAAATAATATGAATTATTTATGAACCTAAAAAACTGATAAATATAAATTCTCATACAATGATGCACAAGTACAAACCTAAGAAAACAAATGGACCAAAAATTTTTTGCCTTCTGACATTTTTTTTTCACGCGAAACTTTCAAAAGTAAAACTCTACCTGATTGTCACGTCACCAATTATTTCACGAACAAATCTTCCTAACCATACATAATAATTTGGACATAAACCTTTTGCTCTGCATCACAAAATATTCTTAACTTGTTGAGATCTATAATATTGCATATAGACTTTCGTAGAAGGCCGTAATTTTTCTATGTATACCATGGAGTACACAGCACTTTTTGTAAGCCAGAAATGTGCAGTGTTTGGTGGTGCAGAAAGTAAAGTGTAACAGCGTTAGGGTTAGAGATGACGCAGTATATACGTGAAAGAATGCATTGTTCTATTTCATATACAAATTAATGGAAAGCAGTTTAATGTGGGTGCGTCAGTATAATTAATTTTGCTATGTATACCATGGAGTACACAGCACAATGATACGTGGTAAGATTGACTCAGCAAAAATGTATCTTAAAATTTATATTGTTTATAGGTTTTTATTCCTACACTTAATGCGCACTAATTAAATACGTGAGTGGGGTGCGGGGATGTTAGAGATAATTATTAAGTAGTTAATGCTCGTTCGGTGTTTTTCGTCATAAATATGAATAGGAATTGAAACAGAACTGGAAAAGAATAAATTGAAAAATGCACAATGATTAAATTTTACAAATGAGGAATAATTTTAACAGTGTAGATGGAATTAATATACTCTCTTAAATGTGAGGATAACTGCATAAGGGTGAATCCTAAATGTCAATTGAAATAATAGCAACTTTATGACGAACTGCGCTCCAGCAAAAGCAGTTCTCAGGAGAACAACTTTACGTGTTTACCTCGTTTGTAAATTCCTAATGTTTTTACGCAATAAATTCCTATAATAATAATCCCATACAAAATAATTATTTAACATAGTGTTAGACTTATTAAAGTTGAAATATAGCTCGAGTTGTTTGTTTAACAATAAATTTTCTAAATTTATATGCTTTGGAATCACTTGTTGTGATGGATATATTTTAGTTTACGGAATTCTTGTGAAGGAACACTTTATGAAGCTATCATTGTACATTTAGAGTAAAGCTTTAGCCTAAAACTGTGCCAGAATATTGAAATTGCATTCTGAATTTTTAGTCATTTTTACAAAAATTAGCATCGTTAACTTTTTTGATAATAAGTAAGATTGAAAATACAATTTGAGTGCTTATGCTAGTCATTTTTTACAAGTGATTAGCATATTTTAGCTGAAAATATTGATTAGCATATTTTAGCTGAAAATATTACCTGAGATAAGTGAATACATATATCCGTATGACGCAGTATTTATCTTTGCCTCGCAATAACTTAATCTTTTATAGACTTTTGCTTGAAAATAGAGTTGTAATCAGGAATGCATTAGCAAATAATTGCTGTGAATGCCGTATTATTTGTAGTATTATAAAAGAAAAAAAAAGAATTGGCCTCATTAAGCATTAAATATCTCTCAAAAAGATTCTTACTTAGTTTGTTTACGATGAAAATAATAAAGGAAATAATTTATAAATTGTAATAATTAGAGTATTTTGAAGATAGATATCAAATTAAAACTTTTGCTAACGTTGAAGACTTTTTGAGGTGATTAAATTTTCAATTAATTTTTGCTAAGCGAAAACAAATTAATAATTCGATTACATCTTTATGAGATACTAAATTTATTAATTTTTTACTAATTTAAGTACAATATACATTCGGCAATCATTAAGGTCTCATTCTATTATGCATACTGTCCCAATGCTTTATATTTTTTATGATTATTTTGGAGTAATCGTAAGGAATGAAAAGAATTCTTTACTGAATTAGAATTGTTAATTATCCCATTTTTCTAGTTTTGTTTTGGGCATTTCAATTTTACAAAATTATACGGAAAAATATTAAAGGACAGTAATTACTGTTATCAAATAAATGTAATTGATATCAAATCATTAAGGCAAAAAGTCTTTCCTAACACATCCAAACTAATGAATGCATGAAATGTTTGTGAAAAAAACTTAAAGTGATGAAGTCAAAGATGTATTCTCTAACTTAACAGTCGAAACAAAGCCATTATTTTCAATATATTGGAATTCCGCACGCTTCGTTTCGCATTATTATAGTGCGCTAATTAATGTATATTATTATTCTGCTTGCCGATAACTGAATATGTCCTTTATTTAGAACAACAAAATTATTCTGATAAATAGCTCACAAATCAAGTAATAAATATAACAGAGTTATTGACAAAGAATTCTTTTGGTGTTTATGCACTCCGCTGCTGAAAATTGATAAATTCGACATATAAATTGATTGATAGGTCGAAGGATAGATGGATCAACAGATTGATAGATTCGACAAATATATAGACCGAGAGATGGATGGATAAATAAATAGTTTGAATGATAGATAGATTGATGTCTTTAAAACATTTAATGGTTGATTTTTTTTGCAATATAAAAAATTGTTAGTCTAAGATTTTCTCTGGAATCGATGAATTGATAGCTTTTGGAATAATTTTGCCTAACTTAACACATTTATTGCATCATGCAGAGGATTGACTGAAATTCTTAAGATATTCTGACATTGAATCGAAATACTTAAGTAATTATTTTCGCTTACAACTCATTAATATTTTTCATTCCTTTGCATTTGAGACAAACAATAATACTGTTGTTAGATGCACTGCTCTATTCTAATTTTAGTTTCTCATTTGCTTTCAGTAAAATTCTTTTGCTATATTAGCGCAATTTTCCACTACAAATCATCAAAATAATATTCTTTCCATAACAAACTATTGCAGCGATTCATTAAGTTTTAAATTACTTTTTACGAGTCAGATAAATAATTAGAAAAGTACCTTCGGGAAATAGAAGCTGAATGCAAAGAAGAAAATGAACATGGAATTTATCCATTTTCAGTGATAACTTCCTGCAAACTTGTCGAGAAATACTGTTCAGTCTTCTTATTCTTCCCCTTTTTAAAGTTTGTAAATAAGTCGCGTAAGGCTTTATTTTTGAAAAAAATTAGATCTGACTGAAAAATTAGACTGAAATTGACCTCTGTAAATACTTCATTCAGTAAGATGTTTTCAAAATTATAATTAAATATTATTTATTGGCAATTTTTAAGTCTGTGGTTTCTTAATTAAGTAGTGCAGATGGTAACGATAAAGTCCCAGAAATTTGAAATTGAATTGTTTTCAGTTTGACGATAACGTGTGTGTTGCAATTTTCGAATACTTAAAGGACAATTATGGCAGTGTTAGAGATGCAATTATTTTGAACTGAATTATATTTTTTATTTTCATCTGCAGTAGAGAATATAATCCTTTCAGAAGCACATTTTTTATGATTCCAAATAAAGGTATTATATTTCCAATTCTAAATACTTACTAATAAAAGGTCAAGTCTGAAGACAAACTTCCTATAACATTGAGTCTAACAGATTTAATTATTGCTTTCATTAGCAGTTATTCTTTAATCATTGACCTATTTCACTGAAAATGAAAAATGCCAATGAAATTATTCAGCAATAAAACGATAAATTTTCATTTTATTTATTTATGAAGAATATTTATGTAAAATATTATTTGCTATTAATAATTTGGTTTTAGAAAAAAAAATTATCCGCAATTACTATCTAAACTAATAATGACAGTAACCGAACACGACATTACTATTTAATATTTCGATAATGTAAGTTTTTTTTCACGTGTTTGACGTGGGTTTTTTTGTGGTAAATACCTAGATTGTAATCGGTGAAGGAATTTGTTATTTTTTAGTTCATTTGACTATAATAACAAATGGTTGGATCTGTTACGCATATTTGCTTAGATGCAGTTATGGCAGTGTTAAGAGGAGATTGTCTTGGCTTGCCAATGTTTTTATAAATTCCATTTGCTTGATAAAGTAAGATAGAGGCACAATACATTTATCATTAAGTAACATTTACAGTTTTAAACTTGCATTTATCACTCCAAGACTTATCGTAACAGTTAAGGTCAATTCATCAGCATTCTTAAAAAAGTACTGGTAAATCCTATAATTCGTGTCCATTTAAATATATTATACCCATATATTATTAGCTAATCTATATTTAGGCAAATCTATCTACATGTGTTTGATTATCAGAGTTATGTATTAAATTTGTCATGAATGAATAAATGATATGAAGTGGGAGTTGAATAGATTGATATCAATATTACGCACTAATAATTTTTATCTTTGTAGTAAGTTTGAAAGTAATTCACGTATATACCATCAATTTTATCACAAATTCATCGAAAAACAATAGATATGATTAATTGGTAAAGTGAAATAAAAGGCACAACATATTCATATTTATCATTAACTAACATTTACACTTGTAATGAGATTCTGGGATAAATTAATTAAAGGGAAGTTTGTACAAGTGGTAGTTTACAAGTGTCGCAATCATACTGAGCCAAAGGTGCTTTTCGAGCCAATTCTTGGCCACTTCGATATGAAACATTAACTGAAGGTGTTTGATCAGAAACTGAATGCGAGGTTTCTGAATTTAATTGCTCAAAGTTACTAATGCTTTCTATCACTTTCTCATTCATTAATGTGCTTGGTTGAATAACTTTTTCTAATTCATTGTTGTTTACTAAATTAATGATATTATTTTGTGTCTGACGCCAATAAACTAAACAGATAGTACACACAACAAAAAATAGCACAACAGCGAATGATAACAAACAAAGTAACATTAATTGCCAAATAGGTTTAACTTGTTGTTGCTGTTGTTGTTGTACTGACTGCAACAATTTTTGGAATTTATCTCTTGATTTCAAAGAATAATCCTTGTTGTTAGTGAGGAATGATAGAGGATTATTGTCTACAGTATTCGGTGTATTAGCCTCCATTACTTGTAAATTAAAATATTTACTAGTAGAAAAGAAACCTGTACTAGCTTTACACCAGTAAATACTTTCATCCTGAGGGGTGATTTCTCGAATATGCATTAAATGATAAGTTCTGTTATTTGCTAAAGAAGTTTCGATCAAAATTCGATCATTATCTGAATAGATTTGAGTAGAATAATTACTTTTATGCCATTCTACAAGAGGTTGAGGATCGCCCCAAACAATACATACAAATGATACTGTATCACCTTCCCTTATTTTGTGTATTTCTTCAAGTGGTGCTGCAATTACTGGTCCGCAAGCAAAATCCTGCAATAATTTTTGATAACTTTCTGTTAAAAAAAGTTCAAAAAAAAAATGTTATCACTATAAGTGTATTATTATTAGTTTTAATTGTTATCATTTATTATTATAATTATCATTAGCGTTATTGATATTGATATTATTATCATTACCACATACTCTTTTTATCATGATTTTATAATAACAAAAGTACGTGACACTGACAATACTATACTAAATAATATAATAATTGATGAATAAAACAAACAGACAACTTTTTAAATTCTGCAAAACTTTATAGCGAAAAGTCAGCAAATTCTGATTTACTTCAAAACACTTTCTTGCATTGAAATGTGGTCACTCATGCAAGCAAAACGAAAAATGACTGCATTTATGCGAGAATAATTGTCATTGATTTTCATGTCATTTTTAAAGTCCACCTTGTTGGACCAAGAATAAAAGTAGCCTAATTTGAATAAAAATGTTTGAAAAAAACACTTTGTCCTTAAGCATCCGTTTCAGTACAGTAGGAGATAAGTTGTCAACTTCTGCTTGACTTTAAAATTTTCTATATTTTGTGATAGTAATAGGAAGTGGACAAGTTTTTGATGCAAAAATAATGCAAAGAGTTAATTTGCATACATAATTATCCATCAATTATTGCAATCAAGATATTCGAAAGTTTTTTGGCGCCTGTATTCGAAAGTACTCACAGAGTGTTGTACGTATTCAAAAACCTCAACATAGACATTCTCATGAAACTTTTTAATGCAATTTTATTGTATTGTTTTTGTACAAAAATGGAAATCTGTGATTTAAACAGAATATACTTTAGAGTTATTCAGAAGACAGAATAAGCTTTTAGTTAAGTTGTAAGACTGAAAATATAAAGTTACAAATAATATTAGTTTTCTTTTTTCAAATATTAAAAAAGTTTTATCTTTTTTTATACATTTTTGCTTGAATGTACACAGCAAAGAGTGCTTTATGACATCAAAAATAATATATTAAACTCAAACATTAATTTTGTTAAAATGTTCTATGCAATATACTAGAAATCTTACGATGCCAATGTCCGATAAGTGTATTTTATGTTATTTGTTGAGCAAAATAGTCGACACAACACAACACAACGCATAAGGAGTTGAGGTACTTCATTCCTATGCAAATAACATTCTGGCAAATATTGTGTGAATACAGTCAAGTTGAGTACAACAATGCATTCAATTCATTTCTATTCTTGCTTTTTTTCAAAAAAAGTTACGTCTGTTGATTCAATCAATCGATACTGATTTAAACTTAATAAAATTTAATTTTTATCTTTATAATACTTTTTTATATGTTAATCAAGTGAACTTTCTTTAAAAAACTCTCTTGTTTTCTGCTTTATTTGTTTAAATTTGAAGATTAATATGCATGTAATTTATGACATACAATCAATCATAAAATCAATTGCATCAAAGATAAATCAATTAATTGAAGAATTATCACTTCAAATAAGAATCTAAAATATTTCTTTTTCCACTCACTCACTCACTCTCTCACTCATTCACTCATTCATTCATTCAATTACTAGTTGACCTCCAAATTTTGTCTCTAACAGCTATTCAAATTTTAAACTTTTCATCATTTTCACTTGTTCTTCACTATCCAAATGATAGCAATTAAAACTTTCTTCTTCATTTCATTTCATTTCAATTCATTTCATTTCATTTCTGCGCGAGATAAGCGCTCATACTTTCTCACATTCAGCAAAAATCACAACTGTTAGACAACAAATTTGATGCAAAGATGCAAATTACGTTCAAATTTGAAATTCACAAATAATCATTTCTTAAACGAATTTTAAAGACATTATTGAATAGTGTCAGAAACATAATAACATAATGACACTTTGAAAATTACTTCAGACGAGAATACATTTTAAATTTGCAATTATTTCTGTTCTCATTTAAATAATACTCTTTTTTCTTCGCAAAAAATGCTACTGCGTATGCAACATAGATTTTGCATTGAATCTAATTGCACGCTTAATTCTTTAAGAATTGAGTGAGTCTCAGTTAGACTTCAAACTATTGAACAGTGTGTATGTTTTGAATAGTTTGTTTCTCGCTCTAATAATAACAATTTAGACAATTGCAGTTGCAGCTGCAAGTTGGAAGCACAATCTTTCGAGATTAGAGTTTGTTTATTTCAAACAAACGATAGGAGAATACTTTTTGAAGTTGCAATTACTTCTACTCTCATTTGAATAATACTCTTAGTTTTTTACAAATAAACACAATCAAAACTATAAAAATAGTACAAAATTTGTTTCTGATGCAGAAAAAGATAAATTTGCAGCTAAATTTCAACTTAAAAAAAGTGCTCAAAGATTTGGGATGGCATTAATTTAATAATAGTATGGAAATGATAAGAAATGATTAATACTTAACGAAATAAAGGAGAATGATTATAAAATTGAGCAATGTAATATTGTTATTAATCTTATATGATTTGAAATTGATGTTATCAGGTAGAGATAAGAAAATAGTTGATTATCAGCAAGATTACCGATTACAATTTCTAGAGTGAACAATCACATTTATCTTTAGTATTATCAGATCTCATTGCACATCTTGCAGAGATTTATTTTATCGAATATTTTTTGCTAACTTACCTCTAAACTGATATCATCCCACCTAACACCACGGATTGACGCTGGTTCATAACACCATGATGACTTAGCGCTAAGAGTTTTACGCTGAAATGCAACAAAATCCCTCAAATGGCAATCACATCGCCATGGACATCCGTCTATCTCCACAATTCTTATCATATCTCCAAAATCAGTGGGTTTCACAACGTGAAGTTGGTTATACGACAAATCTACCACTTCTAATTTAGGTAATAACAAATGATCACCAGTTAGATACCGAATTCTATTATGTGATAAATCTAAATGTGTCAGCAGTTGTAAAGAATGCATTCGTGGAACAGCCGTTAAATCATTGTATGAAAGGATAAGATTTTCAATAGATAAACGTGAATCACGTCTAAATTCAAGTTTTTTGAGTAAGTTATGTGACAGATCAAGTTTTCGCAAGTTTCTAGCAAAAATAAACGCTTCAGGTGAAACATAAAAGAGTTGACAGAAATTCATCACAAATGTCACAATTTCACTATTTACCAATGATGTTAACTGTGGTATAGTTGAATTCATAATTCTCAGAATCATTGTTGCAGTAGGAAGTGGCAAAATAGTTGCAAGAGTTACGTTGAAGCATTCGTATACACGACGATTATTCCGTGTAAATTGTCGACAATTATTTTGGCGGTGATTGATTTCAGTGCAGTCACTTGGCGTCATAGCTATTATTACAGTGAATAAAAAAAATACATAAATAATATAATTATGATTGAATAAAAGTGAATAATTGTATTTCCAAAATGTTACCATCGACTGACTGCACACATTGGCGAGGCAATTGGCATATGAAAAAAAGTGAATGCAAAAAGTTTTGCCGTAATTCGCTTTCACTGATCACTCCTTAAAACATATGCACAACTTGATGTACAACGCAAGCAAATACAGAATATAATTTGTGATTCAGATGGAAATTTCTAATTTTCATACACTGTAGAAATGACATTTTAGGGAAGAGAGGAAAAAAGCAATTGAAAGCAAAGATAAAAGAAATGAATGCAGTAAATGATCGCTAGGTTGATGATAAAATTTGCTATCGTGACCAAGATCAGATCATTTTAATCATCATCGCTATCATTATCAACAATATCATTATTTTATTATTATTCTTATTACTATTATTATCGTTATTGTTATTACATAATAATTAATTTTCATTGTATTTTGCAGAATTCATGAACATATATTGTGTAGATTAATTAAAAATTTAAGCAAACTACTCACTTATTGCAATAATTTCTTTCTGAGCATTTGTTTCTATAATCGAAATTTTAAGCATTCAATAAACCTTTTTATTACTTTTTTATTTCGGTGGTAAAAGTTTTGCAAATTATCTGACAAATATGAAAGAAATAAGTCAGTCAATTATGAATCTATCTTTTAATAATATTTTACAATGAAGCGTGAAAATATAATTAAGTTTTAAGTTGAATAAATGAGTCTAAAGAAATGAATACTTTTTAGGAAATGAAATGTAAAGCATAAAATAGAATCATATGAAATAATAAAGTAACTTTTCAAATTCTACCTGACCTTAACTCTTGATTTCAATAAAAAATGAAATATAGAAGAATGTGCTTTAGTAATTAATAGTTTACTTGTTAGATGAAAAAGTTAGGGTCACGTAGAATATATAACAGCAAATGCAAATCAAGTTTGTGTATTTGCAGCTGCAGTGAAAAAGCAATAATTTTTGCTTATTAAAAATAATTATAAAAATGCTCGTATGATTAATTTAGCATCATAAATTAGTACTTTACAATTAATAGACTACTAAGAAAGCAAATTTCCAGCTTACTTCATAGCTATTGACTGAGTACACTCAAAGCCAAAATTGGCTTAGGGTCACTGAATGTTTAAATAGAACTCGAAGAGTAATCAAACGCTACGCTACACCTTACCTAGCCCAAAAGCAACGGAACTGACAGAAAGATTAACAAACATTGCAAACGTACATATAAATTATACGTATTTTGCCAGACTTTCACCAATGAAATGAAGAAATAAGAAAAGTGTATTTATTTAATTTCTAAAAGTTCCATAAATAAGATGACCAATACTTCTTGCTGATATAATTGCAAATTTTTATTACTAATTTTTGCAAATTGCAAAATATTCGACAAAAATAATAATTAAAGTAAGTAATGAGTTAGTTATCACTCATTACAGTTACTATTTTTGGTCAGTTATTTAGGAAAGATTTTTTTTCACTTCTCTTGCTAGCATCATAGCAGTTATTATCTTAATCTAATGTTGTGAACAGAGAAAAGCTGCGCACAAAATTAAAATTATTTCATTCGGTATGAAGTACGCTTAATTCTCACGTAAAAAAAGTTCTCAAAAACCACGCTAACCTACACGTAAATATACATACATTGTAATTTGCTTTCGACTTCTTTTTTAAATAATATCCAATGAAGTGACAATTTGAATGAAAAGATGCACGAATAAGAATTTGCTATGTATTGCGATTGCAAGACGAATGAAAAATGATAAAAACTTTTCTTTTGCATTTTAAAGTAACAAATTTGCATTGTTATGACATTGTGGACATTTTTCATTTGCTTATACTGACTAACGTGTTATATTGCGAATCCTCACAATGCTGAAACTCCTGACAGAATCTAAGAGAGAACGATTCTTCATGACAGCAAAATGAGCACTCATTCTATTCACTATAACCTTTCACCATCACTACACTGATTATATAATAAGTGTACTGTCAACAATTACAATACCAAATAAATATATATTATGTCCTTTTATTAAAAATCAGCATGTAATTAAAATTTAATATTTAAAGTTGGTCCCCGCATAGCTGCTAACAATAATAATAATAATAATAATAACAATAATATTTATTTTATGCTTTTAATAAGAATGCATTCATTTAATATTTCAGATTTTTTAATTTATGAATATTTTTTAGATATCTAATTGCACAATGATAAATTAAAAATGATACATTTATTTTTTTATAGCAAAAAAGCGTAAAATGATATGTGAGATGAAAATACATACCAATTGAATGCATGTAGCAGACAATACATGAGATTCTTCACAAGCAGCTAGTGACGTGTAGAGAGAGAAGCAAGCACGTACTGCCGAACTGATTCAGTGCATCGGTTTGACATTATTTGTTACGTGCAAGCAGTGCCAGTAGCTGTTTTGTTTACGTCAATAAGTTAATCAATTTTGAAGTGTTTCATTCACAATACTCATTCTCACTTTTGATTAAAATAATACTCTAATAAAAGCATGTAGCAAACTTTGCCAAGACAAGTAATACTAATGTGTAGTATTAATCATAAAATTCATAAATTTATTCCAATTTCTCGTTTAAAACTTGACGTATATACAAAGTATACTTATAATTACGAGTCATTCTCGTCTTGCATTTCAGGAAAACTTAACGGATTTATTGAGCACTGCTTTTTTATCACACTCATCCCATGATACTTTACTATACTACAACATTTACATGGAACACTACAATACAATTTAGAGCAATTAAATTAGCTGTTAATTGCCGATAAGTACTAACTATATTATAATACTTACATTATAATACTTATCACCTTATATTATACTTATATTACAATACTTACTATATTATAGCACTTATCACCAGTAAATTTGATAATATATACGACACCAATTATTATCACTAATTGCTTTAATAATATACACATAAAATCATTAATATATGCGATCAGTTCCAATCACATAGAGCTCATCACTTTCAAATGAAGATATATGAGCAACAAGTTGTGAATGTTCGTTTGAAATCTGACAATTCATACTTCATCGTGGGTGGAAGCAATGATGCATTGCAGAAGAGGAAAGAACAATACATGTACATATGCATGTATATAAACTTTATATATATAAACTTGCCATCAAGACTTCATCATAAAATAAGAATGAAAAATGTAGCGATTTGTGACACCAAAGAAGCACTTCTTCACTGATTCACTGACTGAGCGTGCTGCTTCTTCACTGATCCACTCACTTGGTTGCACCTTTTTCATCACTTACAGACAAATTACTGCTTGTGATGCGAGTATGTCCTCAAGTCCTGAAGGTTATAGCAATATTTCCACTTGCGAATACATCAGCTGTAAAATGTACTATCTATACCAATGCTTCAATTTATTCTGATCAATAAATGTGTATTTAAAGTGCTGCTGCAAAGTTTGCTTATTAAATATCAATCATATTTGGAATATGCATCCAAATTTTCGTACCAAAAATGTCAATACAGGACACTGACCTACATATCATATCTGATATTACTGCGCATTTTTAATTAGCAACTAAATGAATAATTATTACAGTTTGACAAATAATTTGGTCATGTGTAACATAATATGAAAACTATTATACAGTTATACGGTAATTTTCGAATCCATCTTATTTTTACGTTTATATCATACTCTACCAAACACTGCTTCATAAATCTCAGCAAAATTGGTTTCTCTGGCCAGCCATTTTTGTAACTATTATTAGTAAAAGTACTAACAACACCTTCTTAAACCAATTTTTATCATTTCGGTATGCTTGGGAAATGATTATATACGCAAAATAATCATTTGATTTATTAGCACTGCAATTTCAGTGTTACAAATTACATTCAATAGAAGAGAGAGCAAGACATTCCGGTAATATTTAGTCCGTGATAACATGAAGAACCTGATGGTACCACCCCTGAACCATCACTGGCATACGAAATTCATCGATAAGTCTAAAGTACTGATTTACAATAAACTACAAAAACTCTTGCCAAAATTAGAATAAAACACACCTAATACAAACATTGCCTCTCTTCACCTAAGATTTTATAAAAACTCAAATCATTACGTAACGAACTAATCACAAGTCACTCTTCTCTATATATACAGCCCTCGCCGAAATACTCGTAAATACAAAGTATCTAAATTATTGTATTCTTTTTTTACGACTTTTGTCACATCTCAAACTTTAGATTTCTTAAACGAGTCACCTACTTACAGTTTGCCGCATAATTTTTTGAGAAAGCCTCATAGAAAAAAATGAGCTTAAAGTAAAATGAGCTGATAAATTCTACGACCTGACCCTCTTCCACATTGGCTTTTAGTAATAGTTCGCAGTTTCTATTTTGCAGGTCTACATCCTTCAGATACGTATTTTATTAGTAGTACGATAAATACACATATATTCACATTAAATATTCACATACAATATACTGTTTAATGAACTGATGACTATTCATGAAGATCCGTTCTTGTCACTTTTCGCCAGATCACACTGTATCTGCAAAAACTGGAAGTGAATAAAACTGACTCACCCAAACTAAATCAAAAAAAATTAATTTTCCGATTTTCTATTTATACAACGTGGAACATCACTAAATCAGTCTTTGAAAAATATTCGATATGCAGTAACAGAACAATAAAGATGATAAAACTGAAGAAAAACCTTAAGACACTTCTGTGCACAAAACAAAGTTGCTAAAAAATCTGGTGAGCTCAACTGTTTTCCAAAATTTGATGTTGGTCGATCACTTTCCCAAGGTGCTCTAAAAACACATCTTTTTACGAGTCTTACTTCCCATAAACTATTTGTTTTTCTGATCGAAAATAACATCATAATTTAAACAATCCTCTGTTTAAATGACTAAAAGTGTGGATCGTTACTTTTATGTACTCTGATTATACTGCATAGAAATCTAAGAAAAACATTAAATCATAAGTTACTAAGAAGGAAATCCACAAAAACTAGGATTACACGAACAATATTTCGGCTCCAATTATAAATAAATTATCAGTTTCTTTTGTTCAAACATAAGTGTGTCTTTAATATTTCAATCTTAAAATTATGAAACTGCTTACGTATACAGTAATTTCAGAATATTTAATGAGCTAAAATAAATTCAATTACAATATTACCTAACAAAAATATAAAATCAGAATGCTGCAAAACAAACATGGCGTCAGCATTTCTTGTCGATCGGCGTGTAAAATGTTTGGTAGCACTGATATGTAAAACTAATTCGTCGAGTGTATCAAACCGATGCGCGCATTTCAGACAGGTAAAAATATTACTGGTAACACTGTTAGGTGCACGTTTATTAGGTGCTTCACATACTGGTAGCCTCACGGTGCCAATTCGGTGGACTAACTGCGACAGTTCACCTAGTGCATCTGCTGAACTTTTGGCTCTATCTGAAGCAAATTCTTTACTTTGGTTATAAGCCAAAAAATTTAATTTACATAAAAGTTATTATTCGGTATTTATTGCTCGTAAAATTTTAAACTGTATATGTGGCATTCAAAATGGCTAAAATCTACTTTAGTTATTTTCAGCTGCAAATCACATGCTTACCTGCTGATAACCGAACAATGAATATCAAGTTTCATTTATGCTACATTCAAAAACGTACCACATCATTTTTGTTTGATATATGAAAAAGTCTAGTAGTGAAATGAAACGAAAATTCGTCATTATAGTCGTTATATGAATTAGACTGGTTCTTATATCTGCGAAAAACTGATATTTGTAAGATGGAAACAAACACTTACACGATTTAACAGACTAAAAAATGAGCGAAAAACATGTGAAATATAAAAATTTCAGTAAAAACAAAGATGAAAACTTACCAGAGTTAATTGCAGCTGAATGCGTACGTGGCGAACGTGTTGCAGTTGGTGAACAAACAGAAGAAGGCAAACTTACATCCAACTTTGTCGACGTATGAGGAACAGAGCATTCTATATGACTACTCGCCTTTACACATCGTTCCAGACGCTTCAGTGGAGATTCTGACTCATTACTAGTAGAACTATTTGCTGAATCTTTGTTTGTGATTAACTCATAATAGGGAGTAGCAGTGGGAAAAGTATAAGAAGACACAGATGGAGAAACTACCGGTAAACAATAATCTCGTGTATCAGGAGATCCCGAGAGACATATCCGTGGAAGTTGGGAATAATCATAACAACTCTCATCTTCTAGTTCACATTTAGGAATTTTCAATGCTGGGCTAGCATCTTGAGAAGAACATGGAAATGCAATTGTACGATGTGGATAATCATCGGAAGAAGGAGATAAAAGTGATGGTGAATACTGCCACGTGCGCGAAAACTTGTCAATATTTCCCGCAAGCGCGAATTCCTGGATTTTCCTGGAATTTTCTGCGAAAGTCAACTCTGACGGAGAAGAAAGGTCACGAAGATCAGCCGTTGGGTCTTCTTCATCGTTAATACCAATGTAATAATCCCTCGGAAGAATTCGCTTCGCAGGTCTCGCTTGCTTCTTCCTCATTTGTGCATGCCTTCTTGTGCCATTCTCCACTCAGATCTAATATGCCACCTACTCAACTCACTTCTGACCATCATCTCCCAGCTATGATTCTCTCTCTGGAATCCCAACCTCTATCCCCCCACCTTCTCTTACCTTCACGTTGCACCTCAATTTTCTCTCCCATCTGACCATATCTACTATTAACGCTTTCCTCATTCTTTCTCTCTAATTTCTTCGCTATCCTCTTGTCTCCTCTCTTACAATACTACTACTATTTCTCTATCCTTCTTTCTCTACCCTTATGTGATTGATTGATTGATGGCTGCAGGCACCGCTCCGACATATTTCTCCGTTTGAGTTTTAGTTTTTGCTCATTTTGACTCTTAACTGGAATGCTTGCTGACAGTAATGATTATTAATGTAACGGTTAGATATATGATTTGAGACATGTAACAAAGTCAGTTCAAAGTTCGTATTATTGCGTATGCACCTTTGTTTGCCTCTTAAATTTTGAGTAAGTTTACACGTGAAAATGAATAGTTACTTTATATGTCGTACTTCAGGCATTAAAATCATGTCAAGTGAGTGGCCAAAATTACCGCAACGGACAAAATCTCAAGACAATGCGGTAAAATTTCTTAGTTTCTTTATTTGTTCAACCATTCCTAATGAACTTAATAATGTTGAGGAATCAGTCGTATTAAGAAAGTAGACGTAAATTTAAGCACGTTTGCAGTTGTTATTCTTGAAATATTCAAGCTAATTGGTTAGTTGCTCCTATTTTAGTAATCAGGCTTTTCCTGCCAATTATCATGTAATCACATAAGAAAGAGGAAAGATTGAAAGGAAAAAACTTCTTTGTCCGATGAAGATGGATAGTATTGCATGAAGTTGTTAGAAGTGAAAAAAGGACGAAAAAATCGTTCAATGCCTGGATAAAATCTCATCTGTAGGAATAAAACTGCACTGAAAGTAATTCTTAGCTGCCAAATCATTCTAGTAATACAGAAGTTCTGGAAGGGCACATGAAAAGTTAGATACCAAGTTGCTTAATGAGCAATAAATTGACATGATGTAAAGAAAGATAAAGTCAAAGAGTGAGTACATATGTACTGCACGCAGTTGTTGCAACTAATGTAATACGAAATAACAGAATATTAAACGGTGCGGTGTACATTTTTCTTTTACAGAGTGCTTTACTGCTAAGCATGATTCGAACATTGACTAGCAGTTCTTCTGTAGATCAAAAAGAATTGGATCGCAAGCGCTTAGAAGCTGGTTTTGCTGAAACCTCACGAGAAATAGATCAGCTTGTGAATGGTAAGCAGAGAATGAGTTCTATTTCGTATACTTGAAACATTTTTGTCTAAATATGTAGACAATTTTTCAGCGCTTTGTTGAAGAAATTGATCATATCTGCATGCAACCTATGCTGAGCATTCTTTTATGACATGGGATCGTTGTGCTTGTTATCATATGAATTAAGAAGTAACAAATTACATAGATTTATTTTTCAGATCATGAAAGCGATGTTGGCACATGTTTGGAATCATTTAAAAATGTTTCTGCAAAAATTACAGGTATTTTAAGGGCCCAATTTTTTGCTTTCTTTTTGCTTAAAGCGAAATCGCATGCCCTGTTTATTTGTGACACTTTCAGATGTATTGCATTTATAATATTTTATATTCATTATAATCATACTTTTTTAATTAGCCTGTCGAGAGAAAGTACACAGTATACGTAGCAGTTTATTGACCTGCCGTTCTCTGCTGCAGTGCCGACGAGATGATTTGAAACGTCTATGGATGGAAAATGCTCAGCAGAAACATGTCAGCGCAATTCTCGCACAAATGTACTTCAATTTTGTTTCTGTCAGTGCTTAAAAATGCCTATAAAATAAACTTCTTAAGAGTGAAATATTATTAGTTGAATACCAAACTCATGTACTAAAACTTCATGCGCTTCTGCTTCTTGGACTGAATAAAATTAAATAGCTCTATATTCCATTAATTTTTGGAATAATATACCTCTCGTTATAATGAGCAGAAAGAAAAACAATAATCATTTGATTACCACAGAGAAGACTTAAGTCGCTTGGGAAATGATGTTGAAGAAGCTATAATTGCTTCGAATTATCGTTCAGCTGCAAATTTCTTAAATGAAGCAGGTTTCTTTTCATATATTTTTATTTTCTAGATTAATCACGAATATTTTGAAAATAAAATTTTGTAACATAGCGTTACAGATTTGCTACTGAATGGTCCTTTTTCAAACATCGATGGCTTAAATCAGTTTCGTTCTCAGTTACTCGATTTATCTAAGGTGAGCTGAGATTAACAATAACACCTAAATAGTGTATTATAATCTAAATTTTGTAACATACGAATTCATTCACAGACTCTTCTGTATTATATTTTATAATTTACTGCTAGTGAACTTAAAGAATATTTTGGAAATAATTTCAAATTACTTTGAGAAGCTGATTGAATGCATTGTCAGTGATATAACAAACCACTTGATCATTCGGCCATTTCAAAATCATGTAAGTTTGTCTTGTATGTCATCATCCCAAATGATAAAGATTGTACATTCATAGATGTAGCCACGAGGTTGTTACTGTCTTCATCAAAATGAATGTAGAAAGTTTCTGTAAAACAGTTTTATGACAAAAATAGCTAATGGAGTTTGAATGTAGAGTTTAACAGAATTTATCTAAAGTGAGCTCTATTTAGATTAAATATTTTAAGTACAGAGCAGCTACCAGTGACGCATCACTATTGTTTTTTAGCTAGTTGAAATAATCAAATCGCTACCAGAAAATAAAGCAGCACAGTCAGTCGAGTGTGTTGAAATTATGGCACAGTTTAATGTAAAAGAAACTCAAAGCGCAAGAAACTTATATTCTGTGTCTGCTCGTTGTGCTGAAAGTATTCAAGCGTTGTGTGTATTTGGCAGATTATCAACTACACTTAAACGTTTTCTATTAAATTCTCCAGCTGTATTTACTCATCTGATACATACCTCTGCAAATATCGTTTGTGTTGCTTTTGATGGGAATCAAAAAGGAGATGAACAGAATTTAGCGCAATTTTTGCAGTTGGTTTGAATTTTTTCTTTCTAGTTTTATCGTTGATCCTTTTGGTTCTTTGAATAATGAATATTGTAGTGCGGAATTTTCTTTCAAGCTTCTGTTGAGAACAAAAGAATTTTAAAAGGGAGTTAATGAAGTTCGCAGTTCATAAAACTTGGTTTTTATTGGATAGTTTTTTCCATAGTCATCTTGTTTTACTTTTTTGTCATGTAACTATTTGCTTGGTTCTTTGATCTTGTATAAAAACTTGCAATTCTTGCTTCCAATTGTACTGAATAAGATGATTGAGGTGCTAAATCAATTCCGAAGCAGCTATGAAGCTCATCGTATCATGGATGCGGAGTTGAAATTGTTAAAGCATGAGATATCGAAAGATGAAGAAGAAGCTTTATCCTTATCAGACAACTTTTGGGAAACAGCGCAAGCAGTAATTGAAGATTTAGTGAATGAGTACATCACAGAAGACGGTAGAGCTTCAAGTACAGTTATGCAAAAATCGAGCTTGTCAACTTCTGAGAAAACGATTTTATTCAGATTTGATGCTTCAGCATGCGCTTTAAGTACGCAATCTGGACAAGCAGTCAAACAAGTTAGTTTAAGAATCCTCCGAGTTCTGGATTTATTTTTCAAGGATTGTTCTGAATTAAAAAGTAATTACAAAAAAAAAAATAAAGCAGCCACGTATTTACTCAAGCAATCATTAACTTTTATCAATTTTTTTTGTAGGTTCAGTCCTTGATTTGCCCCCCGTCACCTTGGAATATTACAGTACTTTATCCTCATTTGGAACACTTCTGTAATGAACGTGAGGCTGAATTGAGTACGAAATCATGTCGTTTACGTAAATACTTGGATTCATTTATTATCAATGTTTTTATCGATCAATTTAAGTGCAGACTTGAAACTTTGGTTGAACAAGCGCTTAATGAACAGGATTCTTGGCGCTTATTGATGCACCATCCTAATCCTGTAATTTTCAAAATTTCCTCATCTCGTTTTGGAAGATAGTATTGATTTCTGAATTACATGTGTCCTAGTTCTAATGATGAATAACGATTTTTCATTTACAGAAAGTTTTGGCTAGTTGTTGGAATGTTTACTCCATTTGCATTCAAATTGGGAAATTAATTCTTGCTATGGATAAGTATACAGATAGATTATCAGCGCTCTGGTTGCTTGTTATTGATGAATTTTCTGACAGTGCTAATAGCGTTTATGAAAAGATTCTGCCTTCGAAGCCTCCTGCAGATGCAAAAGCCTCCATAGTAAGATGATTGTTGTAAGGTCTACTGTTAATATTAAATGGGAAAGTTTTACACATTTATCGGATGTATAAAACTTTCCCAGGATATTAGTATTAAATGGTAAAGTTCGCTAATTGCTGACTTCCACGTAATCTGTATTCACTAATTTAATAAAATATTCGAGATAATTTTTAATCAATAATTAAAATAAATTTCCGGGATTTGTGTATGAAGAACATTTTTATAACAGATGTTGTAGTGAAGTAATCACTAACGAATCATTTGAAATAGAATATATTTATGATAATATATAGGTTTCCAACGGAAACTCTGAAGATGAGAGCAAAGAAAAACGTAAAATTAGTGCAGCTTGGGCAGTCGATGAAGACATATCACGTTTGCTAAAAAGTTTACCTAACTGGTTCACAGTGAGCAATCATGAAGCAAATTCAAACGCTTCTGCGGACACACCTTCTGCTTTTTCCCCTGGCAATGAAACTGAAAGTGAAGTGTGCCATCGAAATGAACGAGAGTCGGAGATTCTCATAGGTAATGCTTTGCTACTCATTGTACATTAATTAATAAGATTCCATTCATGTCCATCGAAATTACGTTTTAGGTAATCTTGGGACTGCTAAACAACTTGTTCGTGATGAGCTGATAACTGATGCTGAAGTTATTCGTTCCCTTGCATGTATGCATGAGTCATTAAAATGGTTTTGCAGCAGCATGCGTTCGCTTATTGAAATGCTTCCTGAGTCTTCCCGTAATGCTATGCGTAGATGTGTTGTACACTTGCAGAGAACAGATGGAGATAGCATTGTTAACATGTCGGTTAGTAATATTTACGCTTGTCATTTGATGAAGTACTCTAAGTTTTTTAATAGCTATACATATTACATCTAACCTTTTTTTTGATTTCCATTCAAGAATGAATCCTAACGTAATTACAATGACTACCTGAAGACGACAAAAATGACTCTTATGATACGTTGATTGTGTTTGTTTATTTAATAATTAGAAAAGTCGAAATATGTTGTAATTTAATTTGTATTGAACTTTATATTCCATCAAATTAATTTTCAGGAGGAACACATTGCCGAAGCACTTGATACCAGATTAGCAAGTTTGGATGCAAAAGCTGATACCTGTTTGCTAATAATTCATCTGGAGCTTCGCATTCATTGTTTCTTCCATTTGTTACCTTTGGCTCGGGTCAGGCCGTCTTTACCACATGATGAACTTGATAATGAGGTAAAACATTTGTATGGAGAATTTCGTAATTTGTTCTTATTTCCGTTCATTTTAACTTTCCAGTAGAAGTAACAATTTATTTGAGTTCTAGGTCATTGATTTTGGTCGTGATATGACACAGTTTCATCAGGTCCTCAGTAATAATATTTCGCCGCATAAGATGAAGTATTTGTTTGATGGCTTGGGACATTTGTCAGCTTCGATATTTATTCATTCTAGGTAATTGGTCAGTTTTTAATCTCGGTAGTTTTTGCAAATTCTGTTAAAAAGCTTTATTTTATACATTTATTTCAGTCTCTCTTTCATTGAGTTATCTTCCAGTATTTATAACATTTACAAATGGCATGGGAATTTTTTTGAAAGATGTTATTTACCGGGGATTTTAATGTAATACAATTTACGATAATTTTTCAGCCAACATATGCATAAGCTAAGCGAAAATGGGAAGAAGCGTGTTTGTCGGAATATCTTTGGAGTACAACAGCGGTTAAGTCATTTGACTGGACATCGCGAAAGTGAGCTAGAAAGAGCTAGAGTTTTTTTCGAATTACTCAATCATGATCCTGATCAGCTGCTAGCTCTAATACTTGAAAGGGGCGCAATATTTTCACACCTAGAATATACTTATCTTCTTGCGCTTGCTGTAAGGTTAGTTTATTTTACAGTTCATGATATAGTTTAAGGTGTCTAGAAGTTTTAGTCTTTCTAATTTTCTCTGAAATGTGTACATTTTTCAGATCACATCCAGTACTGAGCTCGATACCAGGAGCTTTAGAGCAAAGGATATCTCAGTTAAAGACGATATTAGGGCAGTTGAAGAAATAAGATAAATTGGTTTGAAATCAAAAAAAACGTATCTGCTGCTGCTTCATTGATTTGTATCAACATCTGCTGTTTCTATTGTAATGTGTTTCAGCTTTTCCAGAACTTATATAGTCGTAGTATTCTCAGTTCGTTTTTGTTTTTTTTTTAAATTGTAATTGGAGTAAATGACGAGCGAACTAACGAAGCAATATATATCAAAAAGTTACGTTCAACTTCGCAGTAAAAGCATCACAAGAGTGGGAATTTTTAACTAAACCTTTCATCTTGCGTACTTCAAATTCGTTGCTAGAATAACGTTTATACAGAATATTTTAGCTTATTGGTTCTTACTCATGATACCAATTATTATGTGCTAATATTAAAGAACATAACGTGTATTTATCGTGTGCCATTATATTCTCTTATGCTTTTAAATTATCGTTCAAATTTACTAGAGTTGTTGTTTTGAAAACGTATGCTTTCGATGAGCTAGCTTGTATAAAAATTTATTTGCCCTGCAATATTTCCCATGATCCAAATCTCATCATTTTGTTTTGCACCGCGTTTTTCACCGTGCATAATTTCTATAATAAATGTCTGCTTAAATTTTCAGGAATGGGGTATTGGGTGCATGCTATTCAAATTCCGTTAGATCCTAACCACAAATTATCTGTAGCATTGTATATCTAAGATAATTTTCCACTTCTTCTGTTGTGATACATGACTTTGGTAATCTTGCTAGTCATAAATTCTCAAGTTTAATATTTATTATATTCTATAATCACGTATTAGACGCTGAATACATGTTTTGTATATGTTACTGAAGTTACAACACACCAATACTAAGTAGATTCCAGTGATCTTAGTGCAGATAATTTGTCAGTAGTATTCAAATACGGGGAGATTATGCTGCAGACTCGAATGGGTAGTTTTCTCCTATGATTATCGAAGGATAGAGTTTTAGTTAGGCAGTTTATTTGCTGTTAGGCGATTGTATTATTTCAAAAGCTGATTCTGATATGCAAAAACTAATCTCAAGGTCCACATTATTTTGGTTTTCATATTTTGCAGTTCCCTTGAGAAATCACGTGGATTGATGTCAGAAATCCCGCAACTGCCTTCAGTCGTTGACTTATCTTTTGATCATAGTGGAAATAGGACTCATTTTAACATCGCCCATTTTGATAATCTAGATATATTCATTATATCAACCATTGGGAAAATTGGGCAAATTGTACAAGTAAGTTTTTCTGAAAATGTATTGTTTTTAGTAGTTACTTATCATTTTGCTGATAAAATTACCCAGAAGGTATTGTGTCAGCATGACTGATAATTCAAAATGACCAACAAAAAATGAGCTTTAATTTAGGTTATATTTCCATCATCTGTGATAACTTCTAGACTTCAGCCAACTCATAATATTGATTACGATCTAAAAGTCTTATTGGGTCCACCGTTGGTAATATTTTATCTCCATATCAGTACAGTTTCATAGTAATTCAAAAAAAATATGTGTGATTGAAAATTTAAACAGTACTTATTTTTGTCAAAAATCATGAATATTTTCTTTCAAAAATGCATACTTTCGTCATTTTTGCAAGTATGAATGATTAATCTACACTTTTTTTTGGTTTTCATATTTTGCAGTTTCCTCCATTATTTTACACTTTAGATAAGTATTAAGTGCATTGATTCGTATTTTATTTAGGAAGATTTCGATCTTCTGTTGAATCGCATTATACGGGTTCTGGTTGAACATAAATTACGACGTAGTTTTGTGTTTGCTTTGGGCCTTGATAACTTCAATTTAAATCATGCAAGGTGCATTGTGGAGAAACTCAATGAATATTTGTCGCGTAAAAGTATTTTTCAATTTATTAAGTACTAGAAAATGAAAATATTGAAACAAGGAAGTAAATAAAATAAAATGACTGAATAAGTCAATTAATTAAAACAAAATTACGTTGTATATTAACTTCAAGGGACATAGGCTGAGTTGATGTTGCCTTGGTTTTCTACAAGAATTGAGTGTGCTGAATTGATTTTTTTTTGTTGCAAAGTAGTAAGACAAAAAAACCGAAACCAAACCAAACCAATTTATGTTTCACATATAATCATTTCAAAATAAACTTAAGCGAAAAAAAAAGTTCGCTTCAGATTGTTTCTATCAATTTTACACAAACATTAAATTATAATTATTAACTTATTGCAGGGCCTGTCCATTGATTTTCCAAAATTATTTGTCCAAATTGAATTCCGGTCGTTTTCCACAAGAAGTAAATGTGCCGAATTCATTTTTTTGCCCAAAACTTCCTTCAAAAAATTTGTGAAACCTCGAGAAAGAGCCAGATTGGATTCAGAACTCTCACATATCGCAAAATTCAATAAATTTTATGAATGGCAGTTGAACGAACAAACTAGACAGTCATTTCCAATGTTAGTTTCCGATTTTAGTAGCAACAGTGCTATCGTTGAAAAGTAGTAGATTAGTTATATGATATCTTACGAAATTTTGCTTATCTCTGCTGCCTTTACTATTACTATAATTCCGAATACTTTTTCCGTTCTGATTTATTTTGTATATGTCTCATTGCTATTTCAGATTTGAAATTTTGGATGGTCCACCTTATGCAAATGGTAGTGTACACGTTGGCCATGCCATTAATAAGATTTTAAAAGACTTTATCTTACGTAGTCAGGTTTATGGAGGAAAACGTGTTATTTTTCGTCCTGGATGGGATTGTCATGGACTTCCAATTGAACTAAAAATTGCTAAAAGCAACCAGCAAAAGGTATATTACTTTTGTGTTGTATATAATGATTTTTTGTTGTGGAGATCTGTTAGTATTCATCACTTATCCTTCATATTGAATTCAAGATATGTCAAGTTTTTGAAGCTACTAACTTTTCGATAGTTCAGAAAATTTCATCTTGTGAGTTGCGTAGTGCAGCTCGACAGTTTGCGCTGCAATCTATTTCATCTCAAGAAAATTCGTTCAGAAGATGGGCTGTCTCAGCAGATTGGGCAAACCCGTATTATACAATGGATAAAGATTATGTTGCGAAAGAAATCAGAATTTTTGGTGAATTATATAGACGCAAAATGATTTATCGAGCATTCATGCCTGTTTATTGGTGATTCTTTATCTTTATAATTTGTAATTTTTGTTAATTCATTTCGTTATGTCATGTGCTATTTTTTTTTGCATTCCCAGAACAATTGCTTTCTGCTTATAATTTGAAAAATATTTTAAAATATTTTTTTTTAATCCAAAATTTGTTGTGATACTATATTATTATTGAACATTTCTTTTTCAGGTCTCCAAGTGCCTTAACTGCTCTAGCAGAAGCGGAATTGGAGTATAAAGACCATATCAGTACCGCTATTTTTTATCGTTTTGGGGTAATTTTATCCGTTGAACACCTATTGTTCTAGTTTAACTTTTTTGCTCATGACGTCATGTTCTTTAATTAGCCCAATTGTAGTCACTAGCTGTCTCTGAATCAAATAAAATTATGAGAAAAGACCTTGATGACACAGATAAAACGAAAACAAAGATGCTTTTATAGGTAATAAATTCGCAGTCAATTTTGTTAAAATGTGAAGCAGATGAGCGACCAACAAAACTATATGCATTAATTTGGACCACTACACCATGGACATTACCAATGAATAATGCAATTGCGTATCGAAAAGATGCAGTTTATGTGGTCATAGAATTATGTGCTAAGGAGCATTATATGTTAGAAATTCACGAAATTCCTTTTATTCTGATTATTAGTTGTTAAAATAATAATCAGTAAATTAATTTTGATGTATTTGTAGGCGTCCTGCACGTCATTTGTATATTTTGGCAAAAGATTTGGTTAGCAGTTTTGAGAAAGAAACGAAAATTAAAACTCGAATACTGTCTGCTTTTATTGGTGCGGAACTAAAAGGTATAATGTATCGAAGCACGATGTTCAATGATCTGGCTCAACCTTTTGTAGAAGCAAAACATGTAACTACAACTGTTGGAACGGGTCTTGTGCATATAAGTTTTGCTCATGGTTTGGAGGATTTCGAGGTATGCTTATATTTACATGTAAATAGCAAGAGATTTAATATTCGTCAGTTGTAATATATTGTTGTCTAGAACTTTTTCAGCTAGCTTTACAACTTAATGAAGAAGTCAGCTGCTTTGTGGATGAACATGGTCGTTATATGAGGCATCTTGGACATAAATTGGAAGGTAAAAGTGTTTTGGAAGAAGGAAATGATGTCGTACTTCAGTTATTTAAGAAGAATGTAATATTTACATCACCTTACAAACATAGTTATCCTTACGACTGGAGGACCAGACAGGTAGGGTCTATTATTTCTAAGCATCAAGAATTCTGTTCGCAATATGTTACAATTTAAGCCAGTAATAATACGTAGCAGTGAGCAGTGGTTCATTGATATTTCCAAAATTAGCATGGAAGTAGTGAAAGCTATTACCAATGGAGCTCACATGATTGGAAGCCGTCATTCAGGTAACATAACTGAAAAATTTGAGACTGCTATACATTTTTTGAGCTTGGTAAATTTATTTTTCACCTGATTTGAGAAATTCGTATCTAAAAATCTATTTTTTTAACTTATTTTATTTGAACAATTTCGATTTATCGACTATGTTTATTGCAGTGCTTTATATTTGTCAGATTCATTTCCATTTTACCAGATTTAATCTAATTATTTATTTTGTTTATTGGTGTATTCCTCTGTAACTATTTTGTCGAACATTACTACTTATTTATTTGTAGATAAGACGGAAGCTTTACTTGCACAGTTGAAGAATCGGGTTGTTTGGTGTATTTCACGGCAACGGCATTGGGGTGTACCGATTCCTGCATTTTATAGGGAAGATGGTAGCATCATTATAAGTCACGAAATAGTCAATGCCATAGCTGAAAGGGTGGAAAAAGATGGTACTGATGTCTGGTGGCAATATAGTGCTGATGAATTATTTCCTGAAAAAGTATTCCTTATAAAATTTCTCTTATTTGTTACTTAAAAATGATTGAATTTTAGAATAATAAGCTAGTACAGATCAAGAATATCAATAGAAACTTTTGATGCCCTAATCATATAATTCTCTTTATTTATTTCTATTATACTCTATGATAACTGAGTTCTGTTTTCGAGATGAATTTTAAGTTTGAAAAATTTTAGTTGAGAAATAAGTACGGGATTAGAAAAGAAGAACAGTTAAAAAAATCAGATGATATATTAGACGTATGGATGGACAGTGGCATTGCATGGTCTTCAACGCGTCAAAGAACAGGACCCTGTGATCTCATCGTTGAGGGTTGTGATCAATTTCGAGGATGGTTTCAATCACTTTCATTGATCTCATTTGCTTTGAATGTGGGTTTTAACTGTATATCAAGACAAGAAAATCAAATATTTTCAAGAGGTTTTGTGGATGTGTTTTAAGACCTTTGATTATTGTTCTCTAAATTGTATCAGTATAAGATAATTAAGTGTTAATAGGAGTACTTCAATTTAGTACCTTATTAATGTTGCAGAGCTTTTCATCAAATAATTTCTTTCCAAATTATAGAGGAAATATTTCATCCATAATTTGAAAGGAAATTTTAAAAAAAATACATTACAAGTTCTCTGAAAATAGTTTTTTCTTTAAAAAAAAGCTTACCGATTTCCTTTGAATTTTCGGATAAAAATTGTTGTATAGTTGCAGTTTTTTTGGTGTGTTTCAGAATGAACTGCCATTTAAAAACATCTACGTACATGCTTTCGCAGTTGATGAAAACGGAGAAAAAATGTCCAAATCCCGAGGAAATGTTGTCAATCCGGATTCGGTAAGCTTTTGTCTTATGTGTTATTATATTATATTATTCCTTATTTTCCACGCGACTGGGTTGCTATACGGCAATTTATTCTTCCACTTCATTCAATCGTAAAATATGTATTTATTTATGGAAAGAACTTTTGACGGATCTTTTCTCAAACTGTGATGAGTTAATAGTATTAACTTTAACTTTAAAATAAGGTATTTATTTGAACTCTTTAACAGATCACAGATGGTTCGTTAAATGAGGAGCCTTATGGCGCTGATGGCCTTCGTCTTTGGGTTGCGAAGTATGGATGTGAAGGTGACAATGCGCGCATCGGCCCATCAGTAATGAAAGAAATCGCACGTAACTACGCGCAGTTGCGCAATTCGTTTTGTTTTTTGCTTGGCGCAGTAAATGGCTATGAAGAAGGAGACAAAAGTTCTTATGGAGAAAATTTTTACATCGATAGAGTGAGCTGAGCTTGATATCTACTCAAGAGTAAAATTAGATGAGAACAGCTTTCTTTTTTTATGTGCATAAATAAATCCGTGAATCACCAAAGTTACTGGCCAATTTGCTTAAGAAATTTCATTTTGCAGTACATTCTGGACAGATTAGCTCAGTTTACGCAAAAATGTATTCAAAACCATAACGAGTTTCGTTTTCCGTTAATGGTCAGCGAATATTTGCAATTTCTGCAGCATCCACTTAATTCACCATACATTGTGAGAAAATTTAAGTGACTTCTTAAACAAGTTAAATAATTTTGTTCATCCAAATTTTATTTTTATTTATGTGATTAGACAATAATTAGGATTTTATATTCTCATCTGTTTTTTAAAAATCATTTTACTGAGTGTATTTATGTACCTTAGTTTGTTTATAAAAATTCAATTTACATTTTTACCTCAGGTCTCTTATTTAATATGATCACCTTCAGTAGTTGTTTAATGTTATGACTTTTATGACCTATCAGTTTCAGAGTTGCATAAAAAATAGATTGTATTGTGGAACTTATCTTGAAAGACAGAAAACTCAAGAAACGCTTTCCAAAATCGGGTTGAATCTTGGAGCACTTCTTGCACCTATATTGCCTCATTTAGTGACTGAATTTTTTACACATCATCCTTCCATTGAAGACCCTTCTGATGCTTTAAGGCTAGAAACCATTCAGTTTTTAATGATTTATATTGGTTTTACTCTTCTAAATTCGAATTTGAGAATATTATGGAAATATTCTTTTGCTAAAATTCAGACGATGTGACCGATTTTATTGTTCTGGTGATCCTAATGCAACAGAATTGTATGCCGTCATAGACTTTGCTCTCGATATTCGATCCAAAATGTTCAAACAGAATGATAAAAACGATGTCTCTCGGAAAGTATACATTTTATAATTTTGTCATAGAAATCTGTAGACATTTAAGTCACATATATATTGTGTGTAGATGAACTTTTCCACTTATATGTATTGTCTTGATTCAGTCTTTAAACATTCAAAATCCCGATTTTTTAGGCAGTCTTGATAACTGGTCCTGACGTTGTTCTGCAAAAGCTATATCCGTTACAAGCAGATCCATGTTCTTATAATTCAGAACTAGTAGAAATTTTGGGTGTTTCTGAAGTTAAAATGGAAACCGACAATGACAGCGAGATTGCCATTCACTTTGTGCAGTGTGATCGAGAGTTTTGTAAGCGATGTAGAAGAAATGTCAAGCTGATGGATGAAGATTACTGCGAACGGTGTAGAAAAGCAGTAAAAGAAAATGAAATTATGTCCAAATTTGCTATGGAAGTATAGAGTAAAGATGCGCCAAGTTGAGAGTTATGTATGGGTCTGTTGCTGAGCAGTGATGTATTAATAACATTTTAATATGAGATATAGTTTGCTTCTGTAGTCATTACTACTTAATATTCATAACGGTAATAATGTTTTTGAGATATATTGAGTACTTTTTGAAATTCCATTATCTTTTGTACATATATATTACTCAACCTTGACTAACAGCTGTTTCGATTCAATTATAATCGCTGATAATAATAAAAACAGGCACAGTATTTTTTTTCTTACGAATGATTCTTGTTCCCTCTCTATTTTGAAGTAATCAGTTTTAAATGACATGTCATTTGCATGCTGCTGCTAAAAAAACTTTGCAATAATGACTGATACTGTTCCGAAGAGTTTTTAGTCCACAATGTCCGTAATTAACACAGTGCTCACGAAAATGTTTGTTTGGCCAGTAAATGAAAATGATATAAAAGGAGATGTTTTAAATTAATAAAGATAAGACTTAGCGTTTCCGAGCCAAACTTTGTACATATCTCGGTAACTTATACTTTTAAGTTTGATGTATAAATTTGAGTAACTAAATATATTTCTTTCAAGAGCATGCTGCAATTCGACGCTTCGCAAGAAGACTATTTGTTAGAGTTTGCTCACTGTTTGAACTATAATATTTGGCCGTTTTTTGCGTAGATAAAAAATTTCGGAGATTAGTCTTTTCAGACGTCGCTCAAACAGGAAGCAACCTGGTTAAAGTTGATCTTCAAAAATCACACGGATGTAATTGCGTTGCAATGCGTACTTCAGTTTTGCAGATGTATGTGAGAATTCTGAATAGTCATGAAATCGTCTTCGATGAAGCCGTTAATTTCTATGATATTATTGTAAGCCAAGAAGAGATTGACAGTGTCTGATACATTATCTACAGAGAGAATAAAATGGTGCACCCCCGATACAAGTGAAGAGAGTTTACTCTTTTTTCGTTTGTATTGAGGATTATATTAACAGGTTTTTGAGTAATTTTGCTATTCAAATTTTTTTAATTTTTTACGTTATTTGTAGCTGTGATACTGAGTAGTGAAAAAATTTAGAAGATTCATACTACAAACAACCAAAAAATAAAAATAAGTCCTTGTGGAAAAGTAGTATACAACTGCGATAGAAATATTTTCTCGCCTGCGATGTTCCTTGATTGATTAAGCAATGGAAGTAAGCACTGATTACGCAGTAATAAGGAAATATTCTTGAATGTAGAATCTTGTTCTGGAAAAGAAATGCTAAGGAGAAATCGGTAATTATCAATTTTATCAAATTTCTTACCGTAATTGAGCAAATTCTAAAGCTATCAAGTTCTGCAGAAGCAAAACCATGGGGATCGGTAATATTATACATTTGTTTTATTTTTTAAAAGATAATCCTTTCTTCTGCTCACTCTTATTTTAAAACCGCTTCCAATTATGATTAGATCTGTTTAAAAACAATAATTTCTTCCGCCTATATACAGCTAACTCTTACGTTTGCTTTTAATTAGTAAACGAAAAAGAAAAGTATTTCATATTTGAGTATCAAACTATCTTTATTAAGCAGATTTCCTTGATAAGCATTTATAATTATCATTTTAAGCTGTCCGAAATTGACGCTAATCGCATGTTGCAGGTGATTAGCTAATCCATTCGTCATGAGAGACGGAAAGTAAGAAATGACTGGAATATGAGCAATTACAAAAGCTAATCCTGAAAGAGCAAATGAAATTGCTTGGGAGTAAATCAGTAACAAGATACACAATGCGATGCGATAACAATGCAAAAGAAAAAGATCTGCAACCAAACTGGATTTTTGAATACTTCACCACTATATTTATAACGTATCAAACGACTGTACCACAAACGTCACTAATAATATGAAAAAAACAGCAGAAAACAAATTTATTATCACTCTTTGCATATGAAATTAGTATTTATTAACTGTGAAACAAATAAAAGTCAAATCTCAAACTTCAACATCAACATATCTGATTTTATTAATTTCTCTTAAAGCTGTAAATTCAGACAAATTCTTCAAACTAACATGGTGACGTATTACATATAACATGGTGACTTGCAAAGCGAGAACTGTTTCGATTCGTACTCTGATTACTTTCAGACTAAATACCAGATTTACAGATAAACCAAAATCCCCCTTGCAGTGATTAACAGAAAATGTAAAACTATGTATTGCAAATTAAAATTCTCTTACTACAAAAAAAGTAAGCAATGGGCGAAATTTGTACGGCCCGTTGAATATGATAAACATATCAATAGATATGACATGTTCGTTTAGTATACAAAAAGTTGAGAATCAACAGGTTGTGGGATTTATACTCAGTGCATTGTACTTCTTTGTGCGCGTAATGAGTTTTATTTGTAAGTGAACTAGAATTCTAGATACATGAATTAGAACGTCATGAGAAGCTCGTGTGTCGAGTAACATTTATGAGTTTTGATAGTATTTCCAGTTGTATGTTAAATAGTACATCATTGGTCTGCCATGTCAGATTATTTGATAGTAATGAGACTAAGAATTTATTTGTGCTTTAAATAAGCTCAATTAATGATTTTATCAGTGCTAACATTATAAATTAATCAGGGAAGGGTTTGTGAATTGAGAAATCGGAAATGCCACGAACATACGATGAAGAATGTACATATATTGAGCGTGTTACGGATGTTATGTTCCGAATCAAGAAAGGATTTGTTCCAAACATGAATGTATGTTTTTTTAATCTCTTCAGTTTTTTTCATATTAATAGAAATATCTTTTGATTATTAATATTCTAAATTACTAATACTCAGAGTTTGGTGATAAATGCTTTGGACGCAAAGTTCCAAACAGTATTCGATGTGCACACCAAGTATATTTTAGAATTTTTCAAACTAACGAGTCTGTTATAATTGAAGTTTTTAGAATGTGATATTGTATAGCTTTTTTCACAGGTTGAAGGGCGCTTTTACGTCAATAAGGCTTTAGAAAAACTGATGTTTGAGGAGCTGAAAAACGCTTGCAAATCAGATGGGATTGGTGGTTTTTTACCTGCAGTACGCCAAGTTGGAAATGTTGCGGCATTGCCAGCAATTGTTAATGTAAGTTTAGTTTTATTCTAAATTTATAGGAATTTGAACAACTTTTTCCTAAATGTCATTATTATGGTTAGGAAGAAAAACTTATTGCATATATATTACAAATCCTATATATATCATCTGCAGCAGGTTAAAAATTAATCTTCTTCTTTGTTGTCTTGATTCTCGCGCTGGATCGTGTTCCCGCACTCTTGTTGTACTCCAGCGGCTCTTTGTTCTGCTGGTTCCAGTACATTGGTGAGTGCTTTCCCATGACCTTCACGGAGCTTTCTTCAACAGCCTCACCTGTTTTCCATTTGTTTTCATTCATGATTCCAAGCTCGTCTTTTTTTCCGTTTCCACTCCATTTCCGGCTTCCCTGCTCTGTGATGCGATCGACTATCTAACAGCTCAACCGTTCGACTACTCGACAGAGCCGAATAATAAATACATAGAGAGAGATAAAGAAATTGAAAGATAAATAAAGAGCAATTGCAATCTGTCATATTTCAGGCTTCTATTGGTTTACCAGATATACATTCTGGGTATGGTTTTGCTATTGGAAATATTGCAGCTTTTGATGTTTCTAATCCAAAAGCTGTCGTATCCCCAGGTTTTGACTTCTCTACTTTAATTTGAAAATATAATATTAATTTAATCTTCATATTTCTAGTTGATTTGCATGTGGATTTATGCCCAGTTTTTTCACGTAATTCATTGGAATTTAAGTGACACATAAAGTTCCGAGATGAAAGGAATAACGAAATTATTTCTGTTAGTGGTAACGGTATAAACAGTGTTTTTTATATCTGAGATCTGTTGTTTAAAATTGTGTTTTTGAGGTGGTGTCGGCTTTGATATTAATTGTGGCGTACGTTTAATCAGAACTAATCTCTCTGAGAAAGATGTTCAACCTGTGAAGGAACAACTTGCTCAATCGTTATTTGATCATATTCCCGTAGGTGTTGGATCAAAGGGTATCATTCCGATTGGAGCTCAACAGTTCGAGGTATAATAATATTTGATTTCCTTGAATACAAATCCGTATTTTACAAATTCTCAGTGATAAGGAAGTTTATGATTTAGGAGTGCCTTGAAATGGGTATGGATTGGACATTGCGAGAAGGCTACTCTTGGGCAGAAGACAAAGAACATTGTGAAGAATACGGGAGAATGCTTCAGGCTGACACTTCGAAAGTTTCTCCTCGGGCCAAAAAGAGAGGCCTTCCACAAGTAATTGAAATTACAACTCATTCTGTGATTTCATTTGAATCTTTGTAAAGTCCAACACAGTAATCTTAAAATTTGGTCTTGTTTGCTGACCGAGCTTTATTGTTCATAATATCTAAGTTTTCGTAAATAAAATTTTATTTAATAGCGAAAAAGCTTTAGCTGGGGACTCTTGGAGCAGGAAATCATTATGGAGAAGTACAAGTTGTTGATGAAATATACGATGAATATGCTGCTAGCAGAATGGGTATTGACAGAATAGGTAGAAACACTAATCATTGCAATCGTTTTTTGAATGTTGTTATAATGTGAATTCATTTTTTATCTATTTATTTGCAATTAAACAGCAAACTCTTATTGCGCGTTACACTTCAAGGTCAAGTTTGTGTAATGATTCATTGTGGCAGCCGAGGGTTAGGTCATCAGGTTGCCACAGATTCTCTGGTAGCCATGGAGAAAGCAATGAAAAGAGACTCAATTATTGTCAATGATCGCCAGTTGGCTTGTGCACTGATCAATTCGACAGAAGGTAAATTTTCCTATTTCTCGTAGCGTTCTTTTTTATGATCATTCTAGATGTCTGCGTCTACAGTATCTATGATATTTTTCTTTCTCAAGTTTTCAGGCCAGGATTACTTGAAGGGTATGGCAGCTGCTGCTAATTTTGCCTGGGTGAACCGATCCTGTATGACTTTTTGTGCGAGGCAGGTAAAAATTTATTTTTTATCGAAAGTCTCACTTCGTCAGCCACTTTAAAAATTTTCATATCAAATATTATCCAGAGCTTAATAATTATTAGACTGATTGTAGCAATCAGGCTTTTTTTGCAGGCATTTGCAAAAGTCTTCAGCATATCACCAGATGATCTTGATATGCATGTTATATATGATGTTAGCCATAACATTGCTAAGATCGAGGAGCATCTTATTGATGGCAGACCGAAACAGCTATGTGTCCACAGAAAGGGTTCTACACGCGCTTTTCCCCCTCATCATCCTCTTATACCTGTCGATTACCAACTTACAGGTTTCTTTTTTTCTAAATAAACTAGTTTTTAAAAATTATCGAATATAAACAATACGTTTTTTTAAATGAATAGTGGTCTTTTTCTCTAAATTTGGTTCGGACATCGGTATGTATGGTCTATATTCCTTTGTACCAATTTTTATTTCGCAGGAAAATGTTGTTTACACTAAAAATATGCATTATATATACTTGTTTGTGAATAATCTTAATTTTTCAGTACTTGGTCAGATGCCAGTAATTTGTATTTTATTTCAAAAAATTTACGAAATTTCGATATCAAAAAACATTGGTGTATAAACTGTTCGATTTAATTTACCTTTGTAATTTTAATTGCTAAACTTAAAAGTAAAAAAGTGAAGATATCTTCTAGATTCTCTGTATTAAATTTTAATGCTGCTTAATAAATTACTTTGCTGTCACAGGTCAACCAGTATTGATCGGTGGGACGATGGGTACATGTAGTTACGTTCTAACAGGTACACAACAAGGCATGAATGAGACTTTTGCAACCACTTGTCATGGGGCGGTAATAATTTTTGTTATACATCGGTCATATCTTAAATTTAAATCAAATTCCAGAGTTTTAGTAAAGGATTTAAAAAATATTTTTATTTTTTCAATGTCTGTTATCAATACACAATTGTTTGCAAAGTTTATTGGATTCAAAAGCCTGCAAATGTAGAAGAGATTTATAAGAAAACAGGAAATTCAGGGTAGAGCTTTATCTCGTGCTAAGTCAAGACGAAACATAGACTTTCAAGAAGTTTTGGACCGGATACAGGCAATGGGTATATCAATTCGTGTCGCTTCTCCAAAGTTGGTTATGGAAGAAGTAAGTGTGTGATTTCAGTGCAGCATAATCATTTTAATACAAAATATTATGTATATATATTCCTGAATTTCATATCATCGGAACCCAAAGAAAACATTTTTGTAATATTTGTCCGGCAGATAACTCAAGCATTTTAAATACTATTTTCATTACTTTCCTATTTCTTAACTTATTTCCTCACAGTGGGTAAAGAGTGAAAGAAAAGTCTAGTACAAGTTTTTTGTTTTTAGGCTCCGGAATCTTATAAAAATGTAACTGACGTAGTGAATACTTGTCATGAAGCGGGTATCAGTAAGAAAACTGTAAAATTACGACCAATTGCTGTAATCAAAGGATAGGTAATGGTGATTTTGTGTGCGCTCCTTATGTCATATTTCGTTCAATTTCATCACTCTTCAAGTCTTCATTCCTCACCTATCTCGTCGCCAATTTCAGCTGCAGCATTATGTTATGAAATGGTGATTATTAATTAGTCCAAGTATTAATTATGCCTTTAATACTTGAGTTTTATTTCAAATTTGTCTTTTATAATGACTTATGATAGCGTTTGCGTATAAAATAGTATTGATTGCAGTCATACAGAATTTGCTCAATAATGTTCGACAACACTTTTGTCCGAACAAATTCATAGCATTTTTCTGGGGAATTTTGAAGCTATCACTTTTACGGTAGTATTTTTAAGCAGTTTCAAATGCTTGAATTCTATGTGGTAAAATGTAAGAAATGTTGTCTTCTGTGCTGTGTTTATTGTTGATTATGTGACATGTTTGTATTAATGATGAGTAAAAGTATTTCTTATTGCCTCGTTGGTAATCACAAGTATATGCAATGTGGAGCTTATCTCAGTGACAGGTAGTTCGCGCACTCTATTTCTTCGGTGGACTATTGATTTAGTACCAGAGTTTAGCTTCATTCTCAAGAATATGCTTGATGGTATTCAGGGATTGAGGACTCATTATATGCAACAATATCCTTTGTCTTCATCTGGGGTCTGTTGAAAGTCAGTTAAGGAAAAGTTGGTGATGATTAAACTATTTAGTAACAGTGATGCTGGATTTGGCGAAACATCTGAATCGAGAACCAATCTTGTATAAGACTTATTTCGCTTCACTGAAAGTCATTTGTCTATGTGTTTGTAAGCAAATGCATAAGAGCGACAATCTAATGGACTGGTTTGTTGATTCACTAATGAAGCTATACCGTTTCATCTTCAATTCTGTTGATGGTTAGTATGGATTATGGGGTTACTTACTGTATATTTATATGAGTAATAGTGTAGGTATTGAAGGAGAAAAATAATAGTGTGTTTCATTTAGATTACATTCATTCATCTAGGGGGAACTCAGTTCACTTCACAATTACTTGATTCCATAAGTGAGATGAGGTAATTGTACTACTGCTTCTGCATTCACAGCTTCTATATTTGCACCTTCTGAATAAGATGCTTTTGTATCCATGGCTTCTGAATGCTGTTCCTACAGTTAGCATTGCAATTATTAATTTACATCACTGTGTCAGCAAATATCGCCGATGATACGAACATGCATTCACAGTCTCTCCTTACTCTGCTTATACTACAAGTCCCACCCCCATTCGGGTCTCTTCACGTGTAGAAACTGTTCATACTGCTCCATAAATACCTTTTATCACTTATTTATTTTTTAATTCTTCTCTCATCCTCCTCCTTTTTTCATCTTTTTACGTACTAATTATTCACTTAAAGAGTAGTCTTTAAGTTAGCACGTGAAGGACCGGAAATTATTATCAAGCAATGTGAAGGGTTATACATACATGGATTACTGAGAGTTTCATTTTGTGTCGTTCCTTTCTAATAAATAGAGACCAGGTAGAGGATTTGGAATATTGCGCTTTATCTGCCTAAAACTTGTAGAGATTAGGAACGCTTGATTATGCGTGATTATTGAGAGCACTGTAGAGTTCTGTTGGTTGTTTGGTTTAAAGTACTAATAACTAACAGAAATTGCCGAGAGATCGCTTCTGAAGTACTTGGAAGTAGTACGGAAGTATGCATCTAAGATAGTATAAACTAACTATCAGGAAGTTCAAGAAGTGACTTTTGTAATGTAGAAGATTAGTAATCGGTGTGAAGATATTGGTGTTAGGTTATGATGAAATCAATCTATATTGTTTTTGGTTTAACTGAATAGGTAGGTAGGTAACTCTTATGTGGTATTAGTATTTCGCAATCCATAATTTGTTATGCACCATACATATAACCAATCATTTACCAGCAAGAAAATCACGTAATTAATAAATAGATAGATAGACAGATAGGTAGATTGCATGTGTACTATCCAGGCATGTGTATGAATTGTGATAGGTTGGTTGGTTTTGCATGTCCTGCTCTTTCTTCAAACATCATCTATGTGTGTCTATTGTATTCTTTATTTGTTGACGAAAAGATAAGTTATTTTTTTTAATTCAATGCCTACGATAGTATGCACTTTTCGTGGTATTTTAGTTAAAAAATGCTCATCTGCACTTTCTACGTAATTCAAGTAAAGAAAATTGCGCACTTGCGCTTTCTGTGCAATTTTATTTTGAAAGTTATCTTTTTCCGGTTCTGTGAAAAGACATCAGTTTTAAACGAGAATATGTGTGTCTCATGTTAGACGTCCATTGAATAAATTTATTGCTTGAAAAATTAATGTAGTAGAAAGTTATTTTCGAGTCAGTCTCTGTTCAGTGAAGTCAATAGTGACACCTAATGTGATAGTGCAGAAAATAAGTGCACTGTGATAATAGCTCAAATTAGATGATTCATAATATATTATCAGTTATGTACGTATACGTTTGTCATCGGTCAGTCGAATCGATGCACGTGTCTGTATTCAACAACATGTCAGTTAAATGATGACTTTTTTGGATGACAATTTCCATTTGTGGAATGTACAATACATTTGCACTATTTTCTGATTTCAAATGCTTAAAATTTCTATCTTGTTATATTTGCAGCCGAAAAAAGTTATGCACTTTTTGTTTTGTTTTTTCGAGAAAGTTGAAATAGCAATTTCACTTACAACTTGTCATTGCTAACGATTCAGCATTCAGATTACACCCTCGCATCTTAGTGTTCATCACATTGTTATGCTCGTCATTAAACCTCCAAAGCACCATTTTACTTTTGTCTTATATATGTATATAAATCACAATGTAGGAATGCACTGACAAACCACATAATCTTGAATTCTTATTCCTTTAATTTTTATAAAACAGTAAGAATCGTAGCAAGCAATTATTATTCTTTTTTCAAAATGTTTCATATATTCAGTGTTAAAACTATCGAATTTTGCAGGGTGGAAGCGGTAGTCGAGTAAAATTATATTTTCGATTAATTATAAACAATGAGTGCTCGTGATATAGGAAGTAATATTCAAAAGAATAACAGGCAGATCTCATCATCTGTGACACCATCCGAACTCAATGCGGCTTCCACTCCAACCGCAAGTTTATCCACTATTTCCAAACAGGTGCGCTTCTTGTTATTCAAATGGAATGTCTGAAACTTGAAATTTAATTATATTTTGTTAGATTACTCATGATAAATTGCTGTACTTTCAAGTAATAGTTTATGATTTTAATTTCTTTTTTTCATAATTTCAGTTATTTTCATCACCCAGTTCATTATTGAATGATTTGGTAGAAACTCATTGCCATCTATGCAGTAAAGTCCAACCATATTCTGCCTTTATTGTTTTGCGATGTAAACATGGGTACGCTTAATGTTTTGAAACTGATATAGTTAATTTTTCATATCTAAGGAAATCGAATTATCTTCATTGTTGCGATTCAGTTTGATTAAAAGTTTTTTCTGTATTCTTCGTATTGATAATATAAGATTATTTTAAAGGATTTCAGATTCTGCGGTCAGTGTGCCTCAATTATTGATCGAACTCAGGTATGTCCGCTTTGTTTTAACACTGCAGCAACGGAACTTGCATCATCTTTAACTGGTATTTCACAACATGCTACTTCCATTTTTCCCGATGCTCCACCATCACGTGAGATTAATGCTTCAAATCTTTCGCTTGATGGTGCTTTTTCTATTTGGGACCCACTTTTACCAAAATCTCTAATCAAACAAGGATTACAACGTTCAGCAGTATGTCATTGATTTTTCTGGCCTATTTTTTCGGAATAATTTAGAATGTGCTTTGTAATCTCATGATTATATTTCGAAGAAAATGCAAAATAAGATGTTTAAATTCAAAATCTTTATGAAACAAACCGAATATCTGTAGTTAAATGCTCTTGAACCTCAAATATTTCAGTCATGGTGGACATTGAAGTTTTCAAACAAGAGTTTCAGAATTCTCTGAATCCAAATTCAGTTCTTTTTTGTATTGCTGTATTTTAATGATTGTCACAAAATAATACAGATGCTTTTGTGACAGCTTTTTGATATTATATTCTATTAAAATGCCTTGATTAGTAAATGGCTACAGATTATTTCGATCTGATCTATTTATTTTAGATTCAGTCCTCTACTCAATCACGAAATCAATTACTTCATTCTTCTCAGCAGTACTCAGCTACTGGTTCGTCTTTTGACCCGTCTTTATTGACCTTTCAGAATGACACTGCAGCTGCTTTGGGGGTACTTTCGTTATCTTCTCAACCACTTATAACTACCTCAACAATAAATTGGCATACAGTCCCAAGTGCTGAAATTCAGCAAACGTTCAATATCAAGTATCAAAAGTGCACTATGTGCTCCGAGGGAAGTGATGTCATGAATTACCATCAATTTTTTTGTTGTTTTTAGCAGTTACCTTTATTTCATAATGTAAATGCCTGTAGGAGTTCTGCATGTGTTGATTATCTTATTTATCAAATTAGTTTCATAGTCTGCAGTTTTACGATTTACTATCTGATGACAGTTCTTCTTGCTCATATTAAAATTTTGATTAAAAAGACCATTTATTTAAGGATAATGCTGTAGCGACTGTACGTTGTGTACAGTGTGATGAAACGTTATGTAGTGAATGTGTTGTTGCACATTATCGGATGAGAGTCACACGTGAACACAAAGTGGTACGCATCGAAACCTTCAAAGGTGTATCGTTACCACAGGTAATTTTCAAAGTAATCGAAATTTTCGTTACAAACTACTCTGCTCACTAAAGGTTTATCAAGTTTTTTTTGACTTGCAAATGGTTATCTCAAATTTATTTTCATTTTGCAGATGAGTGTTAGAAGAGAACCAATCAAATTTGAAAATTTAATTGAAATAGAAACCTGTAGCACTCACGACTCACCAATGATTTGTTCCTGTTTGTCTTGTGGAAATGCACCACTCTGTGTTGTGTGTGTTGTCAAGCATCCAAAACACCAACTTGTTCCTTATGGAGAATTAAGAGCATCACTGTTAGCACTGATTGCGAGTTCAAAACATGACCAAAAAAACTTAGAAGTTGCGCTGGAAACTGTGCGTCAAATGTTGGAAAGAGTAGATGCTTCTGTACAGGTCAAAATTTTCATTATGGACGGATATGCACGATATAAAGGATTAAAAAGGGAATTAACTCGATTTTTTTATTGTTTTTAAGCCTCAGTTTTTTAGTCAACAATTCGTGAATTACGCTCAGCAATACATTTGCATATCAGTGCTTTGGAAGAACGTAAGCGTGATTTATTGCAACGGGTTGATACTATTCGGCAGACGAAGATCAACACATTAAAAGCTCAGGGAGAACGACTGGGACAGCGTCATATAATTTTAGCTGAAGCTTTAAAGGTATATTTAGGCTTGATTCTTTTACTGTTTGTTTTTTTTCGAAATGTATGATAGATGATGCTACATGTGGATTTTGCACACAAACTAATGAAAATTTCGATCATCCATTTTCTGATCAGTTGATGGCATCCGGCATTTTTCGAGCAACAGTTATTCTCTTGAAGCAGATAGTATTATATTTGGTCAAAAGCGGTTCTAAATTAATATGAAGCTGTAAGTATTTTAATTTTCATAGGCAGCAGAAGTCGCTACAAGTACTGGTGAAGGAATGGAAATCCAGCAACGCAATTCATTTGATACATTGCTCAGCATTTTGCGAGAACCATGTTTATGTTTAATGCCACATGAAACTGATCTAATTAAATTCTTACCGCCAAATAGCAGTTTCATTACACAGTACAGTTTGAATTTTTGAATGCCTAAAAACTTGAATATGTAAAAAGTCGAAAACAAATTTTTTGTTAGGAGTTTTGAAAATTACTGGGAATAGAAATGTGTAGCACTCACGACTCACCAATAAATTGTTCGTGTTTGTCTTATGGAAATGTAACACTTTGTGTTGTGTATGTTGTGAGACATCCAGATATCAACTTGTGCAGTATAAAGAATTAAGATCATCACTTTTAACACAGATTGCGAGTTCGGGGTTTTTATTTTAATGTTTCTTCATTAAAACTTACTGACTAAGCACAAACGTATTTATAATTGAATCGCTTTCGCTCGTCACTGTTAATTTTAGACTGCGTTCTCTTGGAGAGCTGGAAAGTGGTGCATGCGCTCGAACAACCCATATAATCGGTGAAGGTTTTCGACGTGCTATTCAAGATCGTTCGTGCACTATTTTGGTGCAGGCAAGGGATGCCTGTGGTGATGTTTGTACATCGACAGTTCATCAGTTGTCTGCTTCTTTGATCAGCCCTGAAGGTCATGTAGTGGAGATATCCATATCGTGAGTTCTAATTGTTTAAAAGACAAATTTCAGTTCTATACAAAATTCTATGTTTATATTGTTTAGAGTGTTTCTTAGACGAAATTATTTACTATGATTATAATATTAATTTCCTTACAAATGAATAGTTTTTTTAAATGCATTAGGAAGCATGAGATTATGTGCAGATAATATTAATAACGGTATTATTTAACTTTAATTTCAAACTAGGTTGACGAAATATTGCAGGATACAGGATGCAGGAGTTTATTCACTCAGTTATTTCCCGACTGAAGAAGGCAATTACTTTTTGGATATTAAAATTCGAGGAGTTTCAATTGGGTAAGCATCTAACTTGAGTCAAGGCTTTCGTTAAAATACAACATTTGTTGGGCTTATATTTGAAGAGAAAATTCAATGAAAGTAGTTTGAGAAGAAATTTAGATTCAACAAAACTGAGCTTTAAATCATAGGAAATTAAGTTCATAATCCTTAAATTCATTCTTTAATTTTCCAAATTTCATCAAGAGTATAAAATTTGTAATTGATAAGGGATTAATAAAATTCATAATCATATAAGGATAAAACCAGGTTTCTAGTGAAGTCAGTATAACTTTGTACTTTTTATTCATTTGTTTTCAAATATAGTGGTTGTCCTACGATAATATATGCGAGAAAAGGTCGCGATTATGGAAAGATTGTTCGTACTGGACCTTTATTTTCATTTGGTTCGGAAGGTACAGGTGATGGACAACTTTGTCGGCCATGGGGAATTTGTTGCGATAATAAAGGACGTATTGTGGTTGCAGACAGAAGCAATAACCGTATCCAGGTGGTAGCATAAATGACATTTTTGTCTACTTTTTTGTCTTTTCAAATGAGTTACTCTAAAATTTCAGCTTTTTGATAAAGAAGGAAATTTCCTTTTTAAATTTGGAAGTCCTGGAACTCGTCCAGGGCAATTTGATCGTCCAGCAGGCATTGCTGTAAACTCATTGGTTAGTTCATCCCTATCTATCAATAATTCCTACTCTATTCATGAATCTTGCAAATAATACACTTAATGTAAAAAGATGTTGCTAATTTTTGTGTTAACTCTGTATCGTTATTAAGTGCACAGATAAATTTAGTAAACTGCTATTGTTGTATTGCAACTTACCAGTTGAGGAATGAGAAATTATCTGCTAAATAAAGTTCACACATTTCTGCGTGGAACTTATCACTGTGTAAAATTTGGTAAGATTAGTTTTGTTTAATTAAATGAGTTTTAGAACGAAATAGTTGTGGCGGACAAAGATAATCATCGAATACAGGTATTCAATGACCGTGGTGATTTTTTGCTCAAATTTGGGGAGCGTGGTCGAACTCCTGGTCTTTTCAATTATCCGTGGGGTGTCGCAGTGAACTCATTTAATCAGATCGCTGTTTCAGATACTAGAAATCATCGTATTCAAGCTAGTTTTTGTCTTGAGAAATTTTATTCCGTGATGGTTTTTTTCGTTGTCATTAAAGAGGAAAGATTGTTCAAAAATACTTTCATTTTTTCACAAAATTACTTACAGATGTTTTCTCCACAAGGGCATTTCATCCGAAAATTTGGATTTGATAGTTCACTGCACAGTTACAAGAATTTGGATTCACCTCGTGGTCTTTGCTTTTTGCAAGATGGACAGCTTGTTGTTACGTATGTTTTGTCAAAACATATATATTAATAATGTTCATCTGATTTTTTACAATCTGTTCGATCAAATTTCTCCGGTATTTTGGAATAGTAAACGCCATTGAGAATCCGAATTTTTCGTAACTGGTTAAAGTTTTCAATATGAGATTTTATTTACTTGTCAAGTTTTTTACTCTTTACAGCTTTATAATTTCTAGTGATTTCAATAACCATCGTCTGGTAGTCATGTCATCGCGTAATACATCTGACATGAAAATGTATGGCAGCGAGGGTGATCGGGAGGGCTTATTCTGTCGTCCTCAAGGAATAACAACTGATAATGAAGGGCACATACTTGTCTGTGACTCAAGAAATAATCGTATTCAAGTTCGCTGTTGTCTAATTTTTTGAAAAATTTTTTAATGACAAACTTACATGAAATACTAAAAATTATTGAAAGATATATTTCGTGATGTTTTTACAGGTACTAAATTTGGATGGAATGGAGTGTGTTGCATCGTTCGGGGCTGTATTATCAGACTTTTCATCTGAAGCTTCCATAAGTAATACCGGTAATGAAAAATCTGGTGAGAGCGCTAAAGCGCCATTAACTGTTATGCTACCAATACATTCTTCAAAGGTACCTTCCTGTTCTGGGGTATCAGTTTCCACTAATGAGCCAAATCTTTTAATACTTGATCGCCCTACCGATTTGTGTATTTCTCCGGATGGTTTAATTTACGTAGTAGACTTTGGTGCTAGTTGCATTCGTGTTTTCTAAGTTCTCCTTGTTTCAGTTGTTTCAAGTTAATCATTCTCTGTTCCAAAGCTCATTAGATTCATTTGATTATATCACTTTATCAATTTTGATATAAAAAACATCACGAAATGATCCTTCGTATTTGACGAACTAAAGTTTTATTTAGTTTCGTTTTAATTTGTGAATGTTGTTAGTTTGACTATGCGTTCTTAATATCACATCATCAGTCTGCATGTTTTTAACTCTTTTTTGCGCTTTTTTCAAATCTAAGTTCTACCTCTGGTTTTCTCTTTTCCTTTGAAATCAACTGCTAAAAAAATGTCTGTGTGTTTGTAGTTTTTATTATCTCCTTAAATTAGAAAATAATTTAAAAGAGCGTTGAAAATCTGGAATCAATTATATAAATACAAAATGCAATTCAGTATTTCAATCAGCATAAGAAGTTACTAATTTCATTTTCGAAAATTACGTAAGATTATTTAGCAGTTTCGAAGAAGAATCAGTTTTACTATGGAATTTAAATAGTAGCGTTAGTCTAATTTGAAAAGTAGATGAGTTGCCATTTTCTGAAATGGGAAAAGCCAAACAATCAATGCTGTGTTGGAGAACGTAAAATCTATGCTTTTTTTTCATTTCGTTACGTAGAAATTTTTCATCATTTAAGTATTTCAATTGTTTTTTATATCTTTAAATGCGCTTGCGCTAGGAAGTGTGCATTTCTTTCTCTCCCTAGTGTTTATTTAATCTGAGTCAATTAAAATAGGTCAGTATATTATTTAACTGTATAGCTTTTAAAGGAAGCCTGAAATATGGTTTTGCTATAAGCATCTATTAAAGCAGTCATTATATTCACAGATAACTTGTAAGATAGTTGAATGAAATTCATGGTTATTATTGTGGAATGTGAGCTGTTTTTAGTTCAAGCGCATCCAAAAATCATGGTTTAACCCTGCTGAGACATCATTAATTAGCTACATAAAAACGATTTTAGCACAAATTGTGTGCTTGCATTTTGGTTTCGTTTTTTCTTCATTTTGTTGATGTTAATCTGTTTATTTTATCTTATTGTGTACATTGTATTTTAGTCTCACTACCTCGCCTAACGATTTAATAGCAAAAAAATGATGTTCTTTTTTCTCATTTTTTAAAATTATCTGCAGTATTTCTCCCCTTAATGTTTATATGTATCTAGTGTTTGATTTAATTGCTGCTCGATGCCTGGAAGATATTTGGCATATATCAGGTATTGAAGGAATAGTTGGTTTTAAATGACCCCATCTCAAAACTTCGAGAACCATGCTTAAAATTCGCGGATTATGACATATTATATTTTTGAGGATACTAAAAATTATTTTTGATTTTATTTGAGTTACAGCAGTTTCTTTGCCATCGTTAATTATCTTAAAATTCTTCTAAATTCATAATTTATTTAACTACCTCTTTTCTAACTCCTTTGTTACTTTGTCTAAATATCTTTTTTTTGATGTTCATTATGACTTTTGGTGTTTCACTTTAAATCTACATCATTTAACGAGGTCTTTTGCAAGTACGCGTCTGATTTTTCAGAAAATTCTTGCAAATATTCACAAGTTCTACCTTATTTGTTAACCAAATAGTGTTTTTGTTTTGTTTTTTTCTCTTTTGGATTTTTGCGTAAGTAATTGACAAGTTTTCAAATTGTATATTTACTTTTTATTTGTTGTTTTATCTTTATCGAAGATCAAAATGTTTTTTTGATCAATAATTTTTATTACCAATAGTCATTACATATCCCGTCACGTGTGAAGTAGTTTTATTATTAAGAGTTCTCTCGTTCTACTAATCCTCTTGTTTTATTTTTCATCATTCTCATAGCCTCAGTACTACTTATCTTCCACTTCAAATTTGTGACAGTAATAGCTTGATTTGAAGAGAAATTTGTCTGCAAACTTCATTCACTGAATGGCAAACAGGTAGGTGTAAGGGGAAATTTTTGATTTAGCACTTAAATGGAAATCAATACTATCGGTTTATTTCCGATAATGATGATATTTAACGAATTTTAGTTTCTATTGTTGGTGAGTTCTTTTTGTTTAGTACAAATCTTGTGATATTATTATTTTAGACTGAATTTACTTCAGTGATCTCTTTCAACATTTTGAAATTTCAAAAAATTTATCGAATGATCCACATGAACTTTCAGCATTAATACTTTAACCCAGAAAACTGTAATTTTAATGTTGTGATTTTGAATGCACTTGAGAAATTAGCAAGCTATGTTGGGTGGGATCACCGGTTATTTAAATCTTTGAGCCCTCGATATTTTTTATTCATGATGACTCACTATGGGTCCGTTTTTATTGACACAGGTACTAAGTATTTTATTATTGTTAGTAGTAGTATAATAGTAGTATACTATAATAAATTTATTTTCCAAAATTGAGTGCTCCAATTCTGTAGTGAATTGACTAAACTAATTTGTTGTTTTTGTTGTTCAGAGTGTTGTAGTGATCAGCTCGTCGTTTAGAATGGATTTTAGAAATTGCGAATAATAGACTGTATTTTCTGCCATTGAAGCTAAATCGCTGAAAATTGCTCGGTTTGAGTTATTTTTCAGATTAATATATGAAGTCTGTTTTATGCATCGGTTCAGTCTCTCCATCATTTATTAAGAACCATTGTTCGTGATTTTGTTTTCGTTATGAAGAAATCTAAAAGTTTGTAAATCGTGAGACCAAACGGAATTTGTGATTCACATTTATTGAGAACTTTTCTTCGATCACGAAAAGAAAAACTATTCATTTCTTCTCAGATTTTTACGTTCATTAATATTTATATTTCAGAATGACACTCTTTTGTAGTCTTTATCAGCATAGAACGGGAAATTCTTTCTGCTTCTTAGTTGGTGTTAGAGAAGAAATTTCAAAAAATTAGTTATGTGTTATGACAATGATAGCTTCTAGATTATGTGGTCTCTCTCTTTTCATCCCAAAATACGTCATTTTTTTGAAGAGTTTTGTAATTCACAAACCGATTGGGGTATGTCCTCTTGCTTTTAATTTGACCTTTGGCAGAATACTTTCGAAACATTTCATTCAGTTTTACTATTGGTATAAATTTTATCATTTTTGACGCAAATAAGACGATTTTGCTGAAAAGCAAATATTTTTTTGTATAGACAAGAGTTGTTCAAACTTTTAATTCGAATTTTTCTTGCCATTGTGTCAATTTATTTTTGAACTACGAAATAATAGATTGTTGCCATAACTTTTTCAGTCACTATAGTTGCTTTATCTGACTCACGACGTTCCGCAAAGGAACTTTAAAATTGTGGCTTATCTCCTCTCATTGGAACTAATGATGGTTGTTTTCAAATGAATACAGTCTTATTATTTGGTACTTTTTCAACTGTAGCGTAATGATCATGACTGTAAAGAAAGATAAGTGTAATGTCACTTTCTATTCTTGCAAGTTGTGAACACTTGAAGATGCATGCGTCATAGTGCACTTTGCGACATTCTGAGTTATTTTGAATTAGCGGGGACTTATTGGACACTGTGTCGAGTGAAATTAGAAATTAGAAGATAGTTTGCAAGTTGATTGCACAGAGTATAATATTGTAAGCGAATGGAGAGTTTTTTCTTTTAAATTGTGGTAGGTAGGATTTCCATTATCCATTTAAATGAAAAGCATTCATTCATACTGCCTTGAGAGGATGAAGTATACATAGCGCGAATTTGTACTTTGTCTTGATGGTTATTCTGATGGAGTCATATTTGTTGTTAATGCTGAATTCCGCTTGCATTAGAGGATAGAATGTTTACGTGTAAGATATTGCATTTTATTTTGCAAATAAATTTTTTCCAACGTATTATTCAATCTCGCATTTTGTTTTTGCAAATTTCTGTCTGTTGTTGTTTTTACTAATAAATTGTATTTCGTGAATAAAGATTTTTGCTGTCGAAAATGTGCACAACTCATGTTTCTCGCGATATATTTTACAACGCAAATATCTTATGCAATTTTTTTCCAAGTTTCGAATAACATTATGCATACATTATATTGCAAACAAAAAGCATTCAGCATTAAACTACTAGGTAAACAGATAACAACAAACTGTAGATTTATAACATACGAAAACGACAAAAGGTGTGGATGAGTTTTGTTTTGATCTGTGGACTATGACAGTAAATTGTCTACATACTAGAATGAGTAGATTAGTTTGGTGCTTTGTAGTGTAATGTTTCTTGAATAAGTTCGTAGTTGCAGAAGTATGGAGTGAGAAAGGTTCACACACACATGATATGTTTCAGTGCAAAGGGTGCATATGACTTGGATCTTCGTTTGAATGAGGGATTAATAGAGGGAATCAGCATTTGAAAAGTGCACTCTAATATCGTTGAGCTTTTCATCTATTTCAGTTATGAGTCAAAATACGAATATTTCGAGTTGGATGTAATGCCAAAGAGTGTATCTGTGAATTTAGAGTTATACTAGTTACAATCATAAGTAAAGCAATTTACAAGTGCTTACTAGATGGTTTATATTCAAAATGGGGATTTATATCTGCATATATTTGAAAATGAGAGTAATAAATGGATCTTCCTGGTTAGCAGAGATTGTTTATTATGATAAGACGACTGATTCCAATATCTAGCAAAAGTATGTGTACTCCTCCTCAAGGTTGTTTCTTATCTGATCCATCGTCGGATCATGAATTCATCATCATCAAGACGCACTTTCGAACTGACTCTCCGAATTGAATTGAATTTTTTCATTTCTGTTTCCAAATTTTATACCATCGGTCAGTGTTGGTAATAATTAAGTATTAATAAAAGATACTTATTCACTTGTTGGTTTCTGTTCAATGTTATGTAAGAAGTTATTTATTTCTAAATTGATTGTCCGATTTTTAGGTCAAATACTGCCTTACAAAATTTCATCTATTCTTCAGTAGTATTTGACCTTTTATTTTCTTGTTAATTATAATTAATTAAAATTTTTATTCTTTGTTATTCTTAACTTTCGTATGTGATATTTAT